ACGAATTTCAGCTTAGTGCTTTTGTTCATCCGGAGAGAAGTAGAAATTTACCTGCGAGCGAAAATCTCCAAAACATGAACAAACAGATTAGCGCATTATTGATGATAGCCAACCGTACGGAGCGTGTGGTTTTTTATTAATATTTATTAGTGCACACTGGAATTGTGTTGCTAATGATGCGATGATGGACGTAGACGAAGATTAACCTTCCGGCATTGTTGCGTCGTTTTATCTTTATTTAAACAATCCACGCGTGGAGAGTATTTCCGTGTAGCAATTTATTTAAACAATAAAGTCTTCTTTTGGTGCGATTTACGGATTTGTAACACAAGGAAATTGTTGTTAAGCGCCTTATATGTTATTAAAATGACATAAATCGTCTTTAAAAGTAAGAGTTACATACGATTTTTGTTTTTCCGGGAATTTATATTAATTTCTCTTGGGATAAAACGTTTTTAACAACAATATACAAGAAAAATTTCAATATTTATGACTTAATAACATTTTTCGCCTTTTACCCTACAATATTTAATTATTCTATATATCTGATAAAGAATTTTCCAATCTATCAGAATCAACAATTCGTTAGATTCTAGCGCTTTTAGTTTCGGGGATATTAATTATCGAAAATCCTCGATAAAAGTTATCAAGCACTCTCTTATCTCTCAGATTTCCGTTTTAACTATTCTATCTTATAGAAAATAATTCGTAGATTAAAACTCTGCGATCAGATCTTAATTATCTCTTTTAGTTTACGAGATATTCGCGATTGAAGAAAATCATCAAAAATTGCAAAATGTCACTTTTTAGCACTTTTAGTCGCGTTTTTCGACCTTTTACTGTAGGAAATATAATTATTTTATATTTTTATCTGATAGAGAATTTTCCAATCTATCAGAATCAACAATTCGTTGGTAGCTATCGCTTTTAGTTTAGGAGATATGAATTTTCAAAAATCGTCGAAAAAAAGTATCAAGCACCCCCCCTTGGCAATTTTTTTCTTAAGAATGAAAATTTTATCTCTCAGATTTCCGTTTTAACTATTCTATCTTATAGAAAATAATTCGTAGATTAAAACGCTGCGATCAGATCTTAATTATCTCTTTTAGTTTACGAGATATTCGCGATTGAAGAAAATCGTCAAAAATTGCAAAATGTCACTTTTTAGCACTTTTAGTCGCGTTTTTCGACCTTTTACTGTAGGAAATATAATTATTTTATATTTTTATCTGATAGAGAATTTTCCAATCTATCAGAATCAACAATTCGTTGGTAGCTATCGCTTTTAGTTTAGGAGATATGAATTTTCAAAAATCGTCGAAAAAAAGTATCAAGCACCCCCCCTTGGCAATTTTTTTCTTAAGAATGAAAATTTTATCTCTCAGATTTCCGTTTTAACTATTCTATCTTATAGAAAATAATTCGTAGATTAAAACGCTGCGATCAGATCTTAATTATCTCTTTTAGTTTACGAGATATTCGCGATTGAAGAAAATCGTCAAAAATTGCAAAATGTCACTTTTTAGCACTTTTAGTCGCGTTTTTCGACCTTTTACTGTAGGAAATATAATTATTTTATATTTTTATCTGATAGAGAATTTTCCAATCTATCAGAATCAACAATTCGTTGGTAGCTATCGCTTTTAGTTTAGGAGATATGAATTTTCAAAAATCGTCGAAAAAAAGTATCAAGCACCCCCCCTTGGCAATTTTTTTCTTAAGAATGAAAATTTTATCTCTCAGATTTCCGTTTTAACTATTCTATCTTATAGAAAATAGTCCGTAGATTAAGACGCTGCGATCAGATCTTAATTATCTCTTTTAGTTTACGAGATATTCGCGATTGAAGAAAATCGTCAAAAATTGCAAAATGTCACTTTTTAGCACTTTTAGTCGCGTTTTTCGACCTTTTACTGTAGGAAATATAATTATTTTATATTTTTATCTGATAGAGAATTTTCCAATCTATCAGAATCAACAATTCGTTGGTAGCTATCGCTTTTAGTTTAGGAGATATGAATTTTCAAAAATCGTCGAAAAAAAGTATCAAGCACCCCCCCTTGGCAATTTTTTTCTTAAGAATGAAAATTTTATCTCTCAGATTTCCGTTTTAACTATTCTATCTTATAGAAAATAATTCGTAGATTAAAACGCTGCGATCAGATCTTAATTATCTCTTTTAGTTTACGAGATATTCGCGATTGAAGAAAATCGTCAAAAATTGCAAAATGTCACTTTTTAGCACTTTTAGTCGCGTTTTTCGACCTTTTACTGTAGGAAATATAATTATTTTATATTTTTATCTGATAGAGAATTTTCCAATCTATCAGAATCAACAATTCGTTGGTAGCTATCGCTTTTAGTTTAGGAGATATGAATTTTCAAAAATCGTCGAAAAAAAGTATCAAGCACCCCCCCTTGGCAATTTTTTTCTTAAGAATGAAAATTTTATCTCTCAGATTTCCGTTTTAACTATTCTATCTTATAGAAAATAATTCGTAGATTAAAACGCTGCGATCAGATCTTAATTATCTCTTTTAGTTTACGAGATATTCGCGATTGAAGAAAATCGTCAAAAATTGCAAAATGTCACTTTTTAGCACTTTTAGTCGCGTTTTTCGACCTTTTACTGTAGGAAATATAATTATTTTATATTTTTATCTGATAGAGAATTTTCCAATCTATCAGAATCAACAATTCGTTGGTAGCTATCGCTTTTAGTTTAGGAGATATGAATTTTCAAAAATCGTCGAAAAAAAGTATCAAGCACCCCCCCTTGGCAATTTTTTTCTTAAGAATGAAAATTTTATCTCTCAAATTTCCGTTTTAACTATTCTATCTTATAGAGATTGGTCCGTAGATTAAAACGCTGCGATCAGATCTTATTTATCTCTTTTAGTTTACGAGATATTCGCGATTGAAGAAAATCGTCAAAAATTGCAAAATGTCACTTTTTAGCACTTTTAGTCGCGTTTTCGACCTTTTACTGTAGGAAATATAATTATTTTATATTTTTATCTGATAGAGAATTTTCCAATCTATCAGAATCAACAATTCGTTGGTAGCTATCGCTTTTAGTTTAGGAGATATGAATTTTCAAAAATCGTCGAAAAAAAGTATCAAGCACCCCCCCATAGGCAATTTTTTTCTTAAGAATGAAAATTTTATCTCTCAGATTTCCGTTTTAACTATTCTATCTTATAGAAAATAATTCGTAGATTAAAACGCTGCGATCAGATCTTAATTATCTCTTTTAGTTTACGAGATATTCGCGATTGAAGAAAATCGTCAAAAATTGCAAAATGTCACTTTTTAGCACTTTTAGTCGCGTTTTTCGACCTTTTACTGTAGGAAATATAATTATTTTATATTTTTATCTGATAGAGAATTTTCCAATCTATCAGAATCAGCAATTCGTTGGTAGCTATCGCTTTTAGTTTAGGAGATATTAATTATCAAAAATCGTCGAAAAAAAGTATCAAGCACCCCCCCTTGGCAATTTTTTCTTAAAAATTAAAATTTCATCTCTCAGATTTCCCTTTTAACTATCCCTTTTAATTATTCCCTTTTCCCTTTTAATATATTAAGACGCTGCGATCAGATCTTAATTATCTCTTTTAGTTTACGAAATATTACGTTTTTTTTTTTAATTCACAACGATTCTAAGAAGTTTTCACTTCAAAAAATTCAACAAAAACAGGAAATAATTAAACAAATTGACTTTTAAGCATCAAATTTAGTAAAGTAGAGTTAAGTGTCCGATCGTGATCGAACTCAATGCTTTATTGTTTGTTTTCTTTGCCATTAATCTGTTTGTTTGTTTGTTTCGCACAATTACAGCGAATAAAAGTCGATGCAGATCATGCGGATCGAAGAAATCCGCATACGTTATTGTCTGATTCATATTTTCACGTAAATGTCAAATAGTTTTCTGCTTTCGTCAAACCGGATATGACTTAAGTCACATACGCACGCCTAGAACTAATTAGAGAAGATTGTTGCATTATCCTGTAGTGTAAAGTAATATTTAAATGCAAATGATGCGCGATAGTTGCATATTACAGCCAACTATATGGTTAGTTATTGACGTGCGCATTTGCATTCGGCGGCGATGCATTGTAATGATTGTAATTACGCAATTGTAATGACATGTTTCGCTGCGTCGTGATGCCAGCGATCTTCGCATAACGATGAAATCTATTAATAAAGCACACGTCGTGTTTCATCGTGATCTTTTTAGTTGTGTTTATATTTTATTTGTTTATAATGATTGAGGTTTTAAAAATAAAATAGTAAAATGGGGCCAGAGTCGCTGCCACGGTGAGGGTTGTTGTCATAAATGACCATAACTGTTTCTCTGCTTTTTCTAGCAATTCATTATTGATTAACCGGGCAACGTCGGAACCCCGCTTAGCGCGTAACTATAACGTGTTTTATATTTACTGCGTTGTATGAAGTGAGCAGAGACGTAGTTTTTATTTATTGCTTTTAATAGAATAAATAAAAATATTTCGGAAATTTGTTCTACACTTACGTTACAAATATTATACTTTTTGTAATTGTCGAGGAAGATGTTAATAATTAATTCAAATATAACGTAAATAATTAAAAATATGTTTTGTGAATGGCTAAGTATATTTTTTCATCTTTATATTGCATATTTTAAATTTCCATATTTGGTTTTGTTGGCATGAATCCAATTTTAAATTTTATTGCGCGAATATAATGCAATTCTGTGTTTATCTCAATCGCCGAATCGGAATATTTTAAAGTGAGCGATTGCATTCGACTCTCGATTGGCAAAGTGCTCCACTTATACATGAAGCGCCTGGTTTAAAACAATCGAACTACCGAAACTATAAATTATATTTCTATTAGATGCGGCGCGATTGCCGGCGGCGATCAGGCACACTGAATGGAATCGATGCGCCTTCGATTGCACGCCGTGCAGTCTATTTCTTGTTTCATACTCTCGATAAACAATCTGGTTCTACTTTTAGGACTGATGGCTGGCTGTTAACCTTTTCCGATCGCAATAGGAACACAATTATTGCTTGTCAGCGCTGCGCTGGAAATCTGCAACGACACGTTTGGATGGTGATGGCAAAGGAGACTTCATCGACATTATTTGTAAGTATAATATAAGTTAATATGTTATTCTATTGATGTGAATTTGTTATTTTGCTGGTTTATTGTTTAAAAACTCAAACATTTTACATTCACACAAGATTTTTTGCTAAAATGTTGAATTTTAAATTTAAAAAATGAATTAAACTAAATATCTCTGGGAATATTCTCTTTAGGATAATTTAATAATGATTTTATTTATAGTTTAGTTGATTTTGATTCATAATATTTTAATTTAGATAGATTTTAATGAAAATTTGTTGCAAATGTTTGAAAATAGTTGTGTTTTAGTTGTTTTTGATTGAAATTTGATTAAGGAACATCAAGTATTGTATTGTTTCGCATCGACACGTATTTGCGTGAATTTCTTCAGCCAAATTGAGAAATCTATGGCCATTGTTGGCTGCTCTTATTGTTATACCTTATACCGTAATGGTAATCGTTGTATTTGCGCGTTTCGTTCTCAAATTGAATCCATATCTCGCAACAATTATTATTTGGGCGCGACCTAAATTCCAGCTAAGGAATAAATTTATTTTGTGCAAAAATAACGGCAGTTTTTCGCCAGTTATTGAATTCATAAATAGTGATTATTTATTTGTTTTCTTTTCTTGTTGTAGGTGCACTATTCTGGTGAAAAGTGAATGCGGGACTTGATGTTGCCAATCGTCGTTGTAGGATGTGGAGTTTCAACGTAGGCAACCAGTCTTGCTTGCCTTATGGTACGGAAAGGAGTCGACGAGCATTTTGGGTTCTAGGAGTGGTACGATCCTTCGTAGGAGTGCAATTTTTCGAAAATTATCTGTAATTAATGTAAAACTGAAATAATATAATTTTGGAATGTACTTTCTTTGTTTTGAGTCAATAAAGCACTTTAGAGCTCAATTCGCAATTTATCTTAAATTTTCAGAACACGGTGTGGAAAACGCTCTGTATCTCCTACACCAATCAAGGGATTTTAAGTTTCTCGACGTCATATGATAGTTTAAGAGTTCATCTACAATTTGAGTTTATTACCGAACCTTTAAACCCTTGGGAAGTGCCCTAAAATGCTCTTCAAAAGTTGTCATATTTCACAAATTTTCAAAACTTGCTGTGGAAAACGCCCTGTATCTCCTACACTAATGAAGATATTTTAAGTTTCTCTACGTCATATGATAGTTTAAGAGTTCATCTACAATTTGACTTTACTCCCGAACCTTTAAACCCTTGGGAACTGCCCTAAAATGCCCTCCAAAAGTTGTCAACTTTCTCAAATTTTCAAAACATGCTGTGGAAAACGCCCTGTATCTCCTACACCAATGAAGATATTTTAAGTTTCTCTACGTCATATGATAGTTCAAGAGTCCTTCTATAATTTGAGTTTAATTCCGACCCTTTAAACCCTTGGGAAATGCCCTAAAATGATCACTAAAAATAGCTATTTTCAGCGTCATTTTTTGTAAATTCGGTCGAAAAACAGGGTGAAAGTTACCTTTAAATTAATTTTCTATCAAAATGCAGTCAAACTTGATTTTAAAAATTCATTTTGTTATTTTAAAAGATGGCTGAAAATTTTATTTTTGCTCGAACGACAGGGTCGGACTTATTAGTTAAAAAAAATTTCGGTCGAAAGACAGGGGCGAACTTTTGGGTTAAAATTTTTTCAGTGCGAATTCAAATATTTTGTTAAAATTGCCAATAGGGCCTAAACGGTCACTGCTAGAGGATAATTGTTCTTAAATAAATTAATTAGAATTCAATAAGCTATCTGAATCCGAAATCAGATTTGAAAAATTCCAACTTTTAAATTCTAACATAAAAAAGAGAAAAGTTTTGCCTTTTTTATGACGAAATCTTTTTCGAGTGTTTTCGACCTCAAAAAAATTGAAATTTTTTTATTGCAGAATATTAAAGAATGCGTGATTTTAAACACTTTATCTTAGTAAATTTTTGTTCTATGATGTATCGTTTAGATAATAATCACCATATTAAAAATCGTTTTCGTGCGAAGTCAAAATTTTTGTTAAAATTGCCAATAGGGCCTAAACGGTGAGTGCTATTGGAAAATTGTTCTGAAATAAATTAATTAGAATTCAATTAGCTATACGAATCCGAAATCAGATTTGAAAAATTCCTATTTTTAATTCTGCATAAAAAAATGAAAAAGTTTTGCCTTTTTTATGACGAAATCTTTTCACTGTTTATGTTTTTTATGACATAAATTTAAAAGTTGGAATTTTGAAAATTTTTTCGGATTATGATAAAACAAAAGATTATAAATCATTTATTTTAGTAAATTTTTCTTCTACAGCCCTTAGTTAAGGCCCTATTGACGCCGGTTGATTTGAACCAAATTTAATTGTTTTATCCGCATATCTTCTAAACTAAAAGCCTAATTAAAAAATTTACTGAAATATTTTGTTTGTATAATTGTTCTCTATAATAATCAGCAATAAAAACTTTAAATTTTCAATTTTTATTTTTCTCATAAGAAATAATGGAGAAAACTGAAAATCCAGTTTATCGCGCTTTTCTCGCAAATTAATAAAGATAAAGAAAAACGGTTTTCAGATTCGGATTGAGGACATAATTATACATCATTTAGTACTTAAAAATATTAAATTTTCTACACTTATGTAATAATTGAAAATGGTCAATAACTCAAGAACTAATTAAGATATCGGAACAAAACTTAGATAAATGGATTCTGGGCATCATTCTACATCATATTGGAAAATTTGAAGAAAATCTGAGTTGTGGTTCATTTTAGCCTGTTTAAATTTTCACAGGTAATTTGGGAAATATTGGTGTTATCAGAAAACTGACTGGATATCTTTCATCACATTGCTATTCTCTATCGAATGGCGTTTTCCATTTTCCTGTAGCTTAAAGTTCAATTTTTAGGCCACAAAATACTTAAGTGTAACCTCTTGATACTTTTCGGGTGGTGTTTGGTCAACTTCTTAGAATCAAAAAACTAAATCTGCCATTTTATAGATCCTTATCATGGCATGAAGAAACTGCAAAAAAAATTTCTGCAACTCTTATAGTTTCCGAGAAAAACGGGTCGGAAAATTCACTTTTCACTTTTCAAAAGTAGAAATTTTAAAAGCTTATCATATATAGAATAGTTTGCTGAACACAATGCAGTTTTCCGTTTTTGTATATCTCTATTAGTTCCGGAGATAATCGGTAATTAAGTGTTGCCGGAAGTATACGATTCACTTAAATGCTTCTACTGGATAAACGGTAAGTACTAATGAGTAATGAATTAGATTTATTCATTACTGCCCTGGCCCGCACGCGTTAAATTTGGAGTAAAACAATCCCCCTTTCCCTATACCATGAAGATTTCCTGCTATCTTTGGAATATCTAAATTCATACACTACATTTTTACTTATTTACTTTTCACATTTTATAGTATGCCGCAGTAAAAATATCTAAATTCTTACCATTTAGAAACAAAAGATAATCAACAATCATAAAAACAAAATATACCTATTCTATTCAGTTCTTTTTTACTGAAATACCTCTAATTTATATTTTAAAACTACTATCATTCAATTATTTATCGTAACTTACTTATAATTACTGATACGTTGTCGCGCTGAAAAGAACGTTTTTATTACCTAAGTATTGCTATTTTCCTCGCTGGAGAGCTCCGATATAATAAACGTGCCCGATCGCTGCGAAATTCAAAGTGCTACAGAGAAAACCGCGGCCGGCCGGTACCGCCGAAAACGCTACGTCCACAATTTTTAAAAATCCGTTATATTAGAAACCTCAAAAATAACAGTCTCTCAACACTATGGTAATATGTAGTTTTACAAAATATATAGCCCATGTAATTAAAATCGATCCAGTAGTTTTGATTTATTCATTACTGCCCCTGGCCCGCACGCGTTAAATTTGGAGTAAAACAATCCCCCTTTCCCTATACCATGAAGATTTCCTGCTATCTTTGGAATATCTAAATTCATACACTACATTTTTACTTATTTACTTTTCACATTTTATAGTATGTGCCGCAGTAAAAAATATCTAAATTCTTACCATTTAGAAACAAAAGATAATCAACAATCATAAAAAACAAAAGATACCTATTCTATTCAGTTCTTTTTTTTTTACTGAAATACCTCTAATTTATATTTTAAAACTACTATCATACAATTATTTATCGTAACTTACTTATAATTACTGATACGTTGTCGCGCTGAAAAGCACGTTTTTATTAAGTATTGCTATTTTCCTCGCTGGAGAGCTCCGATATAATAAACGTGCCCGATCGCTGCGAAATTCAAAGTGCTACAGAAAACCGCGGCCGGCCGGTACCGCCGAAAACGCTACGTCCGCAATTTTTAAAAAATCCGTTGCGTAGTTTCAAAGATTTAAGCATACAAAGGGACAGACAGAGAAGGCGACTTTCCTTCTCCAAACAAAAACATCAACCGATCAACTTCAACCCACACGTACACCCATGCACACGTCTGTGCTTAGGGGGGGGAAGCTACGAAGCATCGCACAAAGAGTAGACGGCAGAGTTTACAACATCATATTAGAAACCTCAAAAATAACAGTACTTCTCCACTATTTAATGGATGTTATTATACATACAAACCTTCCTCTTGAATTACTCTATCTATTAAAAACCGCATCAAAATCCGTTGCGTAGTTTCAAAGATTTAAACATACAATAATTAGAATTACGTGATAAAATGTCAGGCGCCTCCGCCATATTTTAGTTAATTTTTTGCATGTTTTTATAAATTAAAAAAGTTAAGATTTTATTACTGATTATGAAAGAGGACAATTATATGAATGGAATATTTTCATAAATTATTTTAATTAGTCGCATAGTTTAGAAGATATTCGCATAAAACAATTGAATACAGTTTGGTCAATAGGGCCTTAAATAACGGTTGTAGGTAAAAACTTTACTAAAATAAATGATTTATAATGGCCTGTTTTATCATAATCCGAAGAAAAAATTTCAAAATTCCAACTTTTAAATTTATGCTATAAAAAACATAAACCGTGAAAAGATTTCGTCATAAAAAAGGCAAAACTTTTCATTTTTTTATGCAGAATTAAAAATAGGAATTTTTCAAATCTGATTTCGGATTCGGATAGCTTATTGAATTCTAATTAATTTATTTCAGAACAATTTTCCAATAGCACTCACCGTTTAGGCCCTATTGGCAATTTTAACAAAAATTTTGACTTCGCACAAAAACGATTTTTAATATGGTGATTATTATCTAAACGATGCATCATAGAACAAAAATTTACTAAGATAAAGTGTTTAAAATCACGTTTTCTTTAATATTCCGCAATAAAAAATGTTCCATTTTTTTTGAGGTCGAAAACACTCGAAAAAGATTTCGTCATAAAAAAGGCAAAACTTTTCTCTTTTTTATGTTAAAATTTAAAAGTTGGAATCTTTCAAATCTGATTTCGAATTCAGATAGCTTATTGAATTCTAATTAATTTATTTAAGAACAATTATCCTCTAGCAGTGACCGTTTAGGCCCTATTGGCAATTTTAACAAAATATTTGAATTCGCACTGAAAAAATTTTAACTCAAAAGTTCGCCCCTGTCTTTCGACCGAAATATTTTTTAACTAATAAGTCCGACCCTGTCGTTCGAGCAAAAATAACAAGTTTCAGCCTGTCTTTTGAACAAAAATGGAAATTAAGGGCACTTCCTAAGGGTGTAAATAGGAAAAAGGGTGTGCATATTGTAAAGGGACTCTTCATCTACCATATGACACCAAGAAATCACAAATTGCTGGTATATTATAGGAAATACAGGGTGTTTTACACCTAAAATGAGGAAAATTTGCGAAAAAAAGGTAATAAAACACATTAAATCACTCACAATAATAGTTTATATTATGAATATAATAATATTAAATAAATATACACAATTTCTCAATCGCTTGTTCAATTCTGCTGATTGGAAAATTACAAAACTGTTACAGTTACATGAATCAGCAGTATATATAAACAAATATAAAATAATTGCCATAAAATGTACACTTACATCATATTTACAAAAAAACAAAGACAATTCTTTGATAAATAATTAAAGATTACATACAGATTGGCTCGAAATCAGTTTCGAAACATCCAAAATGTGTTGAGCAGTCCAGTTGATATAATATACTACAATTTAACATACAAACCATACAGAAAACTATGAAATTGAATTTACAAATCATCACGAATTATTCCCACACATGTCTACAAAGAATCCGCCATGGAAACAAACCATCCTTGTTCTTAAATTTTAAAAATCCATCGTTCTACCCTTCCCAGATTGAATGCGCGCATGCATATAATGAAATTTCGCAGTATCACAGCCGTTCGAGATGATTTTCTTTACGTTATGCGTTCTAATCAGTGCCAGTTCAAAATAATAAAACTATAGTAAGCGAAACGCAAGACAGAAATGAAGATTGGCGATTATGGTTTGGGGTGGGTCTCTTCATGAGTAATGTTAGCGTTTTTGGGTAAGGATATATCACATGCATCCTCGTGGGCTGCTGATGATGTCAAATTGTTAGGTTTCCATTCACGTTCCTCCGGATGATTCTCATCACAGACAACGTACGACAACGACTGTGATGGCGGCGGTAAGGAACCAAACGCCGTGGACACCTTATTATCATAACACTTGGGGACATTTCATGTACCCGCACGTCGTTATTGTTACGTACAGGTAATAAATTGTAATTGTACTGTTTATCATTCGTGGCGTTGAAACGCTCGTTGATATTCTTCGTTATCCTGATGGGTCCAGGTGGTGGTGGTACAAACGCCATGTCAGGATGTTCATGGACAACCAAACCTTTTCGTAAAAATGGCTCTGCAGCCACAGGTTGACAATATGGTTGATCATGGTGTTTCCTACAGTTGTGACCATGTTTGCGATGGAGATATGTACAACTAAAATCGAAACAATCAAAATTAGACACAATAAATAAAAATTTTATAAAAATTACTTACCCAAGTTTATAATTAGTGTTATTTAAGGATTCACTCTTGAGGAGATGCATTGCCAATGCAATCAGAACAAAAAGTATAACAGCTCCACAAATTGGCACTGCAATGGTAGCAGCTTTGAACCACACATCCGAATCACTATACCCAGGACTACCAATCACACGAGTTTCATCAACATCACCTACAAAACCATCAAGATTAATATTTCTGTAATCGATTAAGAAATTAACATTCACATTCACATACTTAAAGTGGTGTCGTTAATGAGATCCTTGGTCTGTGGATTATCCGCATGATTGCACATATCCTCATGGCAGCAATGAACCAGCGACCGAGGATGGTCATACTCATCGCTCTTGAAGCCCCCGGCGGTGCTGGCGCTTCGTGCCGAGGCAGGATATCGGTTTCCGTTGGGAAGCCGCTGACAACGCTCTCGTTGCGCCCTGCAAAGCACAAACATCCAAATCAGCATAAACTCGACTCATTAAACCACAAACGTTTCGATTTCGAAAGGAAATTGATGAATAGTTATGATGCGCGTGTCTTTAGGGAAGTCGTAAATAAACCAAACGCAAAAAACATCGCGGAAATGCTCGCAATCATGTCAGCGCATATTACGGCCGTGCGATTTCTGCTGGAATTCGGTGTTTTTACCACCGCATTGATATTCCTACGATCGAATCATTTTAATAAGCGCTTCGCAGTTATTATGGACTTGCGCGAAGAAGGAATACGTAATATTTCCGTATTCTCCCGTGTGTCCTGTGCCTACGCCATCATCAACATATCGTTAATACAGCAACCGATCAATATTAATACACCCTATTAATGCTAATTGCAAGAGCGCGAGATGATGCAGCGTGCCACGCACTTCCATCACGCGTAAACTTGTTTTATTAGCGACAGTTAAATCAATGACAAAAACGCGCGCTCACGTTGCAAAATTGATTAAAGAAACAACTAACGCACCGTTCGGTGTGCGGTGGATGATTGCTGAAATTCCGAGAAATTTAATTATCGGCGCACGTTTTAATCGACTCCGATGCATTTTGTGACTTTTACGATTCCCTCCCGAACGATTTGTATCGCAATAAAAGCTCTGCGGATATTTTGCTGCTCTTTTTTTCTCGGCGTTGTTTCATTCAACTTCGATGCGCTGCGTGTTTTGATTGTTAGCTTAATACACAATTATCGTGCGAGTGTATCGAAGCTCATTATCGTCTCTATCAGCCATTCAAGAAAGCATTGTGCATTATTTATTGAATCAGAATGCGTCGCAAGCGCATCGAATCAAATCTAAACTCACAATACAATAGCGCTGCATAATAGAAACCACAAACAATCTAATCGAGGCCGCGGCGAAGAGAGATGGACCACTCCCACATAACAATTTATAAGTTTTTGTTTCAATATGCGATTTGATTGGCTTTTAATCGGGCGAGTCCGAAGTCCGAAGCGCAGGAATTAACGGTTCAGGAAGAGAGGAGATAATGTAACGCGCGATGTGTTGTGCATTCTGGTTTTACAGTTATCACGAAATGCACTGCGCTGCGGATGAAATAAGAAAGGCGAAACGAAAGCTGCGAATGTGTAGAAATCGAGTGATTCGTTATATAACGGAGGAAGCAACGCAGAGATCCTAGATAGTCGTTTTTCGCACTGTCGACACCACACACGTGTAGCGGCTTACTTTTACTTCTTTTGTGCGCTGCGCGCTGGACAGCAAACTGTTGACACCGCGGGGCATCCAGCATCCAAAACTGTAAATTACCATCCGCAAGTGCAATTGCATACACGCAACAGAAGGCAGCGCGAGTCACGATCGCATTATCTCAATATTATCATCGTTATAATGCGGCGCGCTTATTATGATTGCATTCACACACGCGCTCGCATCAAACGGCACTTTGCAATGACCCAAATTGCGCGGCCGCCGAGAGAAAGACGAAACGCGATACGAGGCATTTTTTCGAAGCCAACAGGTTGTTAAAGAGCACCTGTGAGAATTTCACCAGCGTGCGTACGTGCGCCGAAGAGCGTGCCATTTCGAACAGCAACGAATTTCGATACGCAGCTGCTGCATACCAATACGTTAATCAATTTACTAATTCATTAAACATGCTAAAGTCGTGTTCGTATTGCATAATCTGACACAGCGGCGCCAAATTGCAGGCAAACAATGCACATTAAACAAACAAAACATGTACACTGGTTACGACAGCAGCAGCCGCAGCAGCAACAACAAAAAAACGTCTCGCTATGGGCGATGACGAGCGTCATTATTTATTTATATTTATAAATGCATAATGGCATAAGGCAAGCGCCATGCGCGCGACACGCAGCGCCCGGAGCAGCAGTCGATAATTATAGCATCGGCGTTCTTTCAAGGCTTTTTCACATTATTAGCTATTAGTAATATAATTATTGCCATCTACGGCAAGTGTTCGCAGACCGCGAATTGGACACACGATCTTTAGCCGCACGCTGCGGACGAGGCACAAAAAATATTTTTTTAAAAATACCGACAACATAAAAGTATTCCGAAACTTCGTTTTCATTAGCCAACTAATTACTTTCATAATTTGTGTGTTGTGACCGGTTTCTTTATTGACTTTTGAAGAAACCAAGAGCAGGAAATCCTTTGGTCAAATTTTATTTGTCGGTATATTAAGTATCAAGTGCGCTAAATGTCACTTTAGTCACGAGAGTAGATTTTAGTCACGTTAGCGTAACGAGCGTTTAATGAATTTAGTTTTTAACAACTTTTAGCGACAAATTTGTCAAATTCCACCCGTGACTAAAGTATTTTAGTCACGACCTTAACCATACGTGACTAAAGTGCCACATGGAATTAGAAAAACAACGTGTAGCGGCAAATTTGGCAAGCTCTACCCGTAACTAAAGTAGATTAACCATGGCCTTAACTCCTACGTGACTAAAGTGCTACATTTCCGGTCTGAAACCCGTGGCTAAAGTGACGCCTTAAAGCTGGAAGTGAAAAACAAAATTTTTAACTTACTTGTCTGTTAATAATTCAATACATCCATGTCTCCCTCGATACACAGTCTTCGCCGCAGATGCAGGAGGATGTTGTTGGAATAAATCCGAGAAGCAACCCCCAAAATGCGATTTGCACATGTACCCCGTCGAAATACAAGACGGCAGATTACAGAAACATCTCACCGAAGCAGATGGCGGACCTATAACAAAAAAAAATCATATAATTCGATTGAAATCGTTGCTGTGCTTCCTAATTTGCTTTTAAGCACACACAGCGCACACACTAATCAAATAACAATGTTTTTTTTTCTTCACATTGCGTTTATCAGTTAGTGGAAACTCAAGAAGATCTTTAAGCCGTTGTAAATTACACGAAAGTATACGGTGCGCGCGCCGGCCCCAAATGAATGCACTCTCCAGACGTCGTTATATCTATTTACTTTCAGTTATAAGCATAAGCATGAGTATGAGAATGCACGAGCCATACAGAGTGTTCAAAACACACCAACACAAAATATGATTCATCAGTAGGAGATTGAGTTTGTATCATTTGGTATAGAGGTTTTCGAAGCGTAGAAGGAAAGGATCTGACCCAAGGCGGATTCTCTTCCCTGTAATTTCGCATCGGTAAGTACTTTAGCTCGGCCGAAACACCGGCGTTCAGACAAACAATCAACATGATTGCAGCGCACCTCCGCGTTCATAGGTACACCTCATGGACAAAAATTTCAGAACACTAGTTTTTCACCCGTCTTAAGTGCTTTGAAATTACTAGGAAATTGCTTTCAAAGTTTACAACTAATGCACTTTGTTTCTTGCTCCATCGTCTTCCGGTTCGTTAGAAATGATTGCTTGGAGTGCAAAAAATTAGAAACACATTTTCGACGCTTTGTATCGAGGACTAGAGTTCTAGAGTTCTAGATGCAAGCGGTTTCTTCACGTTCCAACTATTATTTACCTGCTGTTGGAACCCCGCACTGGTGGTTGTTTGAAGAACGCGTTATGGTCAAGGGGCACGCAGAATACACCATATGCAATTAGAATCCCTCTCCTTTCGTTTGCTTCGTTTATAATAGCTTAATAACCGACTTGCCAACTCGTACCATGTATTTATCCCGTGGTTTTTTTCCTCTCTTCTTTTTGGGAGTTAACAATCGCACGAAAAGAGGAAAAATTTCAAAATGTAATTATGTTAATTGTTGGTGTTGAGAAGATTCAGACGACAACCGCCTAGGGACGAAGGGTTGTTGCTATTGTTAATCATGGGAATAAACACAACACGCTGCGCAGCTGATCTAATCTAATTTTAATGTTTCGAAATGAATTGACAAGAATTACAGTATGAGTACGAGTATGGCATGATGAGTTGCTGTTTGGAACGTAAAAACATGGCGCCGTCGAAACAATTAAACGCAATTAAAGCCGGCGCGCGATCTGAAAATCTAAATCGCGACTCGCGTAGCGTGCGTACACTCGTAGGTTCATGCAATGTCAGTCGGCAACAACAATTACGATTAGAATTGCCATTATTAGCCACAGCAGGTCCACGCACCGAACAACGCGGGGCAAAAATAAATAATTGCGTTAGCAATTAGCAATTTGTCGGATTGCCATTAACGTTAGCATTAACATTAGTCTAATGCCGCACGTATTACGAATACAAATCGAGCTGCGAGCGAATAAACGCGCAATTACACAATGAATAGTGTTCCGCTGGGGATCATCGCAATCATTAATCTTCTCGCATTCAAATGTTTGCCAAATTCGTGCCAGAAGAGAATGTGTGTAACGTGAAAGGCAAAAAAACACGAAATAAACAAATAAAACGTTTAATTTGATTGCTTAATGTTTCAGCGTGAATTTAAATTGAATTTTTATGATGTTCGTTGCACGTACCGCAAGTCAAAGCATAGGCAACCGGAAGTATTACGTCCATAGTGTACTTATGTGACTAGGGAATACGTTTTTTCTGTTCTAAAGGTTAAAAAATATATAGGAAAAAAGTTGGCGTCTTCTTTTCTCGAAATCAATTAAAACCCATTGCGGTGGTGCAGTAAATGAGAAATGAAGCCATAAAATGACATTCAACAAACGCGCAACTCTTGGTCGTTCCTTTGCTTCTTGACTTCTTCAATTCGCAGTAATGGATATACACTTTTTCCGCATGACATATTCGAGTCCCTTTTTTGCACCGAGCGCAACGAGATATCGGAATCGGTCGGCTTGAATATAGGGTATTAATAACTCGTTGAAAATATGTTTAATCGTTTGCCGGAATTAACATAACCTGCTGGTCGCTGGCTCGAAAGCTCGACGAGCGATTGAGCAAGCCAACGTGTTTCATGTCATTCGTCGGCGCGGTATTTTTGTATAGCGCGTATGAGATATTAAGCGATTTCACATATTTTCGAAAAATCAACTCGATGTTGCAACATCACCAGCCTCAAAATCATTCAAAACCTAATTTAAGCTGTTTTTGCCAACTTGGTCAATTAGAAACCCAAATGACAAGCTTAGACAACAACAAAAAAATTCTAGTTTTTTTTTATGTGGCATAAATTCCACACCGTTTAGCGATTATTCAACGTAAAAGATTCCAACTTTTACGAACATCAATTATACCACCATTACCTCTCAATGAAACTGAAGCACAGAGGTCCCACACAATACTACCTGCTACCAGGGCCCAACGAGAGAGAAATCGGTTATGAATAGTTTTCGGTGTTTGTTTTCACGTGTGTCGTGCGCACGCTAAACAGACGCATAAGCCTTACTTATTTACCTGAAGAACAGAAGACGAAGAAGAAAACGAAGAAGTGCCCGTAAGTGCTTTACCTTGTTTGGAGATAGAGGATGCCCAGTTATCTCGGGTTTTAGTGCACTCGGACCCGGGCCAGTCTCGGATCTAATGGACGAGATAAAGACGCGCATCCAAAGGCGAAGAAGGAGAGAGACCCACCGCATGGCCAAGCATGTATGCAAGTCGATATTTATATATTCGAGGAGAAAAATTTCTGATGTCAGATAGCGCCGTATCGCGCACGACACGAGAACACTTTTAGACGCAATCTTAATTACTCAATATCGGCTAATGAATATGCACCCACCGAAGCGTAATCATATTTTTATTGATACAGAAATCGTCCCCGAGTGATAGAAACATCTCCCGAGGTCTTTAGTGGACGAAATACCACTTTGGCATTTCATCAAACCGGCAATGCGCAAAAAATGCGCCGAAGAAACGCTAAAAAGCATTCCGCGGCATTGACATGATGACAAAAGGAATTTCCATTGTAGAGAGGAGCTAACAACCGACTTACGAGCGGCAATCGAAAACGAATAAAAAACGCCAGCACAACCCGACATGCAGAACAGTTCGCCATCGTTTCGTACCCTGCGCGCGCCCAGGTGTGTACTTAAGTCACGTTGTTGATTCTGCCCCACATGGTCTCGCGCTGCTTTTGTTCCTGCACTGCGTTTCGGGATTCCTGCATCGGCCGAAGACGAACAGAACACTGCAAGAGAGCATGCTGCGGGCCCCGAGTGTGTTCATAAGTTACTTAGTCATTGTTGGGGCTGCCTTAAAACAACATGCACGACCCAAGCAAGCGAGTGTGCTACCTTCGCAAGCAACAACGCCGAGCGAGTTTCGATTGGGTTTGTTTAAGACCTCCTCCGGTTCGAACATGCACCGTCCGCCGGCCGCGGGATAATTAATTAAATTCTTTGTTTATTTTTATATTCCGTGCCTCTGCATGCGGCATGCCGCATGCGCAAACACACGATGTACACTCCAGCAATGCGAAGAGTGAGCTTAAGCACAACTTACACACACATACGAGAGACTTGGCGAAGGGCTTTTTATTATCGGTTTGCTTTTACAACCTCGCCTGCTATTCGATGGGAAAAAGAAACGAACAACGGCCGAATCATGTTGTTTTAATTACTCTTTCTGTTGCTTAATTCTTGCCTCAACTTGTTTTTGTTTGTTGTCCGTAAAACTCGCTGTGTGTTCGAAGTTGAACATTAATTTTTTCTACCTCGGCGCGCGAATATTTTTGAATTAAAATTTATCGTTTATCAATGTGACAACTTTATTTCAACGCATAATCGCGCAGCTAATTGCAAACAGGTACGGTTTGGCTCTATTGTCGCAAAACGAAATCGCAAACTTTCACGCTCGATTGGTTCCGCAGATTGCTCATGTTAATTCCACCAGCACTTTGCAATTCTATTGCGTTGATTAGAAGCCAATACGACGTACACTTCGTCTTCAGCCTGCCAACGAATGGCGTAGGCATAAATATAATAATTGAAGTTTAAGCCAGCGCGACGAAAGTGCCATTCTTGTACGCGTGAGTGCAAGAGCAAAAAATCAAAGAATTAAATGAGAAAATGTTCGACGTAATGCGATAATAAGTAAAGAATGCAGAATGGAAGATTGTTTCGCGCATGCGCACACACACCACAATTTTTCAAACAATGTTTTGCTTTTCATATAATTAAATCATCGTCGTGTGAATGACTATACGTTGCCAATGTGCGCAATGCGCTTGCGTGCACGAATTAATTATATTAATAGACAATATGCGCTCCCACCGCTATTTGTTAGGAAAAAAATGCTACTAACTAGATACAATACATGTTGTTGGCGACGGCTGCGTGCGCGATTATGTGGCGCCTGGGCGCCGGCAGTAATTGAGAGCCACCGGAGCGTAGTAAATTCATGCAGGAATATGTTAAACAACACACGACGCATAAAATTGTTTTCCAACAAAGCGCGTGCGAAAATACTACATTTTACGCAATCTAAGGCGCTAAAATTGATATTGATATTAATACTCAACTTGGAAGTCACTATAAATAACTATCAATAAATTTCGGTGTGTTTTGAAACAGTAAAAATATAGCCATATAAATATTACGACTATGCGCCTCCTGGGTTTAAGTCATGTGTTGAGTCAACTTAAAAGCAACCTAGACATAACACAGAAATAGGCGAAGGCGAGGGCGAAGGCAAAGTTTCGGGGGGTAGACAAACGCATTAGTGAGCCGCGTCTATTAGATAAGCAAACAGGCGCCGGTCGTTTCGGTACCCAGCATACCAGTGACTTGCTGGCGCTTGTGACAGGCAAAGACCAGACGCCGAAAAGGCGACAAGGCACCGACGTCGACGCCACAATGTGTATCGGACACAATTGGATACAACACTTGTGCCTTTTTTCCACAATACAATTCGCCTGCGTGTCTCTTCAAGTGCGCACATGGCTTAAGTTAAGTTAAGTGCCTCGAGTGGCTTCCTGTATCGACTTTTTCGAGTGCGAATGTAACCAATGAAATAAATGAAAACAAAGTTTGTATGCATATCGTGGCCGAAAACAACAAAAGTGATTGTTGCTCATTCGGCCATGGTTCCCCCTGTCCTAATTGCACGCTTGACTCACCGATGAGCCAATGTGTGTGGATATGCGTAGTAAATGCAAATGCCTTAACCGCGCGCGCGTCCGAGTGGCGCCCCGACGACGCTGTTCAAATGCTAAAAACAGTATCGTGTCAGTTGCGCGTCGCACGGGATTGTTCATTAACATTCCCGCCATTGTTCCCCGCGAATACAAATCAACCCGCATGCCTAAATAGCAATTAAAAAAAAACACTACTCACTGATAAGATATTTCTAAAAATATACAATTTCAAAATGGTGGTTGCATCTGCTCGCAATGAATTCTGAAAATGAAGCGACCGGGAATAGACCTGCCGTAATAGAAATATCTTTGCATCTCTTCGCTCTGTGCGCGCGTCGGGTTTTAAGTTTAGCGCTTCACGCCGCTTGAATTACCACGGCCTATGAATGCAACTGCAACACACCACGCACGTTGATCTTGCAGTTCAGGTTATGGCACGCCCGGCGCCCCGACAATTTTCATTCATGTTCACGCGATATTCAGCTTTCTAAACATAATCTAATCCAATTCCTGCATCAACTTATTATGTAATCATAATTCGTAATATTTGCGCACACAACGGAATCTTGTCAAAATAAGATATAATTTATTAATACGCAAACATTTGTTTACGAATTAGTCACGTATTACCATGCGCGAGCTACTTAAGAACAATAAGTCGACTTAAAAAATACCACACGCAGGAAATTACAGCTGTATGTGAAAACTGCACTCGCGAGGTGTTTGGATAGAAGAAGTAACAGTCGGATGTTAATGAATCGACAATTAAAGGCACTTAAAATTCCTCAATCGTCGTTTATGCGTTCGTTGCCAGCGCAAAATAGAAAATATTTTCCTCACTCACAAAAACATGATCATACTGTAAACTGTAACTGATAGTGTGATTAATGACTTGATCAAATGTGAATTGAGAGCATTGATAATTATTATAATGATTATTAATATTAATTCCGATTAATTACGCTTGCGCGCGGCCGTAATTAATTGCATTCTTCTTTTTGGTGACTTGCCGACTTCAATTAATGACAATAATCTTATCGCGCGCAAGTTTATTGAACTGTGTTTTTTTTTCTGCACGGGATCAGAATCAAGTAGGTAGAGATGACAAATAAATTAATTACAAGTGTGACATCAAAGTTTCCAGACATAGTTTTACACTTAACACGCTTTATACTTAGATGTTGGACCGAATTAACCAAACCAACATTCCGCGTGTGACTTGAGTCATCGAAAGAAAGCGAAACGCGAACATTACACGCCGAATTAAAATATTCGTATGCGCGAGGAGTGCAAAACACACCCGAATGTACAAGTTATTTATATTTTGGCTTTTCACATTACTCATTAATGCAGCTGCTAACAAAGAATCAATAATATTCCACCGCAGCGCAGAAATGACTTAACTTAAGTCACTTTGGTAACTTACCAGTGATGTCGTCGTCGAATTGTCGCACGTGTCCATCATCCTGGGCGTCATCTGTTTGAATATCCCCTTGCTGAGAGAGCGCGACAGGTGACGGCTGGCGGGCGCGATTATAATCGAAGCGCATCACCGGCTTATTGATCGTTATGGATTCGTAGCGATTGCGCTCGTTGGCGGTGTCGAGCACATGCTCGCGCATTGCCGCCTCGCTTTCCATGGCGCCGACGGCGCCAACCCCGGCCATCATGCACAATATTGCGACATTCAATAATTCCATCTTGTCCAATTCAATAAATAACTATATATATAAAGTATTGATAATCCACACACAGAGACAGGAGAAACACGTTTTTGTTTATAATCGCGTTGTGTAATTACACGATCGATGCGCACGAACGCTTCGTGTAACAGTTTACGCACACTCGGCCTGTGTTTGTTTACAGCGGCGATATATAATTATCTGCCGAAACGTAAACGATGCGCGCTCACTTTCGGCGCCGGCGAGTCGAAATCACGCCGAATCCAAACAAGTTTTTCATCGCAAAACGCACGCACACTGCAGTTGACTGGCGCTTGACTTAACTTAAGTCACTCTATAATCTATCACATTATTTTCAGCGTAAATATTACAAGTTTGTGGTTTGTGACATGTCACAACACGTTTTTTCGAGTTTGTAAAATTGAGTGGATCGTTGGACGTGACCGCGCGAAACGCACGCTCACTGCGAACTGACTTGTCGGGCGCCGCTCACTCGCAAGGCGCCTTAGCGCATGTGGCTCAGCGGCGCGCGCATGCGCAGCACGCTGAATCAAGAAGACGCAAGTCCATTAGCCTGCTCCTTCTTTATCTCGCGTATGCAAAAGTGGCTCGTCTGCCGGCGTAAGTGGTCTAAATGGAAATTTTGTGTTTCTCGGCCGGCGCGCACGCTATCGCGCTTTTATCGAGCGCCCGTGGACGACGCGACAATAAACTGCGATCCTCGGCTAATGAATGCCATCACAATTACGAACAGAAAGAAAATAAAATTAAAAAAGACTCACTTACCTATGTATCAGAGATGCCAATGTTAATTGCACTAATATTTCATCGCATATTTCATACTAGTGGAGTAATTTTTGAAATTTTTCAAAATCCTCCCGAAGAATTCATTTACATCATCGATTTTTTAATTTAAAAATTTTTAAACGTTTCCCTTTCTTGCAGAGTGAAGAATCAACATGCAAACAAGACAGTGAAGCATCACCAGAGCGCAAAAACAGCGAACAAGTACTGGATACTAAAGTACTTGCAACTCGCATCTGCCAGCTCGACAAAAACAAGCAACTAGTGCTTTTGTCTTAGGCCTTGATTAACGAAGTAGCAAGCGAACTATAAATACATGATGCACATGCGATGTGCACAACCAGCAGCGGCGTGCAAAAAACAAACATTCATGACATGCATTGCCACTGCAATCTCTTATCTCTTATCTCACATGAATATCTTTCGATATCTACATGCGATAGGAATTTGCCAAGTATAATACTCAGCTACCTATTTTTCGCCGCCATCTTGGATAAAGATGATCCGTTCATTGTGAGCTTTTAATTTTTCCTCTTCATCTCGTGGGCTGGCTACACGCTGGTTGTTTGTCTTGTGTCTTCAGCATGATTACGAGCTCGTTTGGGTTTGATATTTCACCGAAGCGTGCGACGTGTGCGTGCTCCAATCCTCCGTCCTCCTCTCCTGCTTCGCCTTTATTTGTATTTGCTCAGCACTCGCGCATAGTTTATAGCTCATAGCGTATATTTATAATAAACATGTTTTGTCCGCATGCGGTTCTTCGTGGTCTTCGACTTCGGGCGACTGCGGCCCGCACTGGCTTTTTATTTATTGTCTGGTTTTCATCGATGCGCCGCGGTGCACGAGACCAAGAAGACACATACGAGGCAAATTGCGTTCGAAGCATCAAGAATAAAAAACATTCTAAAATTGATTTTTAATTTTATAACCTAACCTCAAATGTCACTAAAATCACTTTTTTCTTCTTCGGTATTTTCTGAATCAATAAATTATTCAGATAGTGTTTATCACTGCATGTCCTGTGTGTCTTCGCATAACTTTGCATACCGCAGTTTGTTTTGTTCTCAGCGATTTTTATTTGCTCGCATCTATTGCCTGCATACTTATTACGCGCTCGTTAGTCAAACCACGAAGGTGAGCTGATTATCCTGCGTGCGCACCGAGCGCGCGGATAAAAAGCTAAACGCGTTTGGAACCCGTTTAAAACTATGCTTAAGCGCACGCTGCGCGGTGTTTACCGACTCAGTCATATCAAAGTTGGCAAAACGTTCATTTCGAAAAAGAATGACGCTTTCTGCATAAATTAAAATCTTAATACGAGCAATTACAAGCAGCATGCGCCTACGTACCCGTATCCTGCAATCCTTTTTTTTCGCATTGAAAGATTTTTAAAACATGCGACGCACGTCGCTACTGTCGATGATTGAGGATGAAGATTTTATTTTTTTGCAGAGCGTCTAATTATCCGAAAATATTTGCAATAACCCTACGTAAGTGGAAAATGCCGGGGTAATTACCGATCGTAAAACATACTGGCGCTGACTGAGAAAATTGCTCAGCATGTCCAGACTTTAAATTAGGAGATATAGGTAAATAATGCCATTGATTTTTTGTAGACATATATTTTTTTAGATAAAATTATGGTCCGGAGACATTTTTTCCTTGCGTGTCCATTTTGCAGATACCTACACCACTTTTTTGTAGCCCTAGATTGCTATCAGCGCATATTTCAGATCCGGCTGTCAATAGACCAGTGAGTCATTACATTTCGAGACCCTTCGGATGGTTTGACGACTATTTCCTTAGCTTCACATCCAAACGACATCTCCAAATGTCTACCTGACTAAAATTCTGACTAAGGTATGTGTTTAACTTGTTCTAATGGCTTTCAGCAAAACTCCAACAGGTCCCAAGTAGACCCTATGATTAACGGTAACCTCAGTTGCAATCGAAGCATAATTTTCCCCAATTATTTTATTTCAGTGTCTCCCCTGCAATTTTGATTCCCCGGGTAATAAAAATTTGTCCTCGACATCAAAGAAGAAACCAAGAACCATTAAAAGTCAGGTTAATATAGGGTCGTAATAAGACAACACTAATAACCCATCGGCAGACCAGACCAGACGATAAGTGCCACTCGCGTTTCTCGAAAATTTTTATTGCCCTCGATATTATAGAGTCGCTTCACCATCATCTGTAATTATGTTAATGCCACATTTTTGCAAATATCCCACACATGATCCACATAAAATTTAAAATTCCGTGTTATTCAGAAATAGAAAGACCACCTATACCATGGGAATTGCATTAAGCGCGGCGCGATGACGTAGCAATTGTTGCAATTGTTGCAATGATTCGCTTCCAATCATCTTCGTCTCCTTCGTCCCATTCGCTGGATATCAAGGTATGCGCGTCGGTTGGGTACGCCAGTTAAGTCACTTATTTGGTTCATTAGCCGTTCTCCACCGTTTCTCTCCCACTCGCGCGGCACTCCATCAGGTATGCTTCGTTATTTGTTCTAGCTTGAACGCGCGCACGCTCGAATTGGATGAGTGATGAATGCGCGCGGCTCGAGACGGGCTTCATAACTTTGCGCGCTTGCTCGTCGAAGGGCCCATGGTAGAGAAATACTTCAGTTTTTGGACCGCTCGCGGTGCGCCTGCAGCGTGCTGCTTTCCACTTGGATGTGAATATCGTCCATGTGAATTAATCAAACAGGACCGGATTTATTTACAAAATTTTTAAATATTTTTCTTATACTTTTTCAGTATAATCCCACACTGTTGATATTTATTCATCCAGCTTCGTTATATATTGATTTTAGATCCAAACACAGCATGCGTGCTCTTCTCAAGTTCTTCTTGTTGTTTTCTTGTTCCTGTGCTGCCGTGCCGTGCAACGATTTATATCTTCATAATTGCTTTATAATACAAGCCAAACTACGCGACCATTAAAAGTTAATGAATTATTTTTTCTCCATGAAGAACCAGGTTTTTTTTGTTATCATATTTCAACTTGTATGCAACATATCCGACGTTGAGTGATATAATCGCGTGTCAAATGCACACTGTATGAAATTCACTAATTAAAAGATAACGGACGCCGGCGTTGTAAATATCGCGATGTTTATTCGATTTTCGCTGCGTTATCTATGGTGTATCAGTAGTGTTTCCTCGTCAGGCATGTTCAGATCGTAGATTCCGCGCACGCCGTGCGCGCATTAAGCCTTTTTCAGTTCATTTACGGCGCGCGCGCGCACCTTTACCTTACAAAAGAAAACGCAGAAGCTGAAGCTTGAAGTAATTCAATATGTTTTCAAGATCCGATGATACCGTGTTGTAATTCCGCATGAATGCAGGATGTTACGATCCAATCGAAGTAAGAATTTATTTGACATGATTCAACACTGCTAATTTTTTAAGCAAATACAATTTTTTTTTGCAGTGCACTTAACGCAAAGTGGTTTGTTATCATTGAAGTTGTAACCTCTGAGTGTTTTCGGGTTGTTATCAACTCCACAACCACTGTGTCCTCGTTAGCGCCGGACCACATTAAAGCGGTCTTCTTTACTCCTTCGGTTTTTACGATAAGAACGCCCGCGGTGCCCACTTTATCGAAACCTTTAATACATTTTCAGTTTCGTGTGCATTAACGCCGCCAGCCTCTTCTTCTCCGACATAATAACCACAAACAACCGGCGACGATATGATATGATACAATATATGCTCTCGAGCAAAGTGAAATCTTGGAACTGAATGGATCCCGGCGTGAACAGCAACATAATGATGAGCCACTCGCCACCGCCATCAATTCACTACCTTTATGTGTGTTTGTTTATCCCTCGACAATAAAAGTGCTTTCAGGAAACTGCATAAAAGCTTTCGATGATAAGCTTTTTAAGTACACTTAACATTTATATACATCAGTATATAATATCACCAAGAGCAAGAATGTAATTCAATAAATACCTAAATCAATTCCATAAAAAAATCAACGTTTTTCTTCATTAAACATAAATTGAAGCAGAAATCTTAAATATGTAGCAGTTAATAATTTCCGTCCCGTCCCTGGTGGTAGTAGTGATGTTGTAAATCGTGCATGATCATCGACGACTCATCTGGACGAATGACTCAGCATGAATCTTACGAAGAAGCTAACCGAGCCAACAATAATTGAGCCGACGAGAAAACAAAAACGAAACAATGCCAAAAGGCACCGCGCAACGCGCCGCATAATCAAACATCATTTCACTCGAAGGAATCGTAATTAATTTAATGAGAAGTAAGTAATTTCGTTACTTGCATTACTCTCAAATTCAGAGTTAATTCAATCTTAAATTATGTTGAAGTTATATTTAGTTAAGTTGAATTCGATGTTGTGTCCTATAGTAGGCGCTGGCATATATTTGTATTGTGTGTTTGTTTTTTCCACGGCAAACGCGCTAACCTTACAGATATAAACAGTGATATTTGTGTCATTTCACTTACAGTCATTGTGGCAATAAATTGTCGTTATTAAAACTTGAGCTTGTGTTTTTCTTTAACTAGAAAAACTCAATAGGTTTAGAAAAACCTCAATAGGTTATGGGCCCAGATAACGCTAGTAGCTCAAGGATATAGTAAAGACAAGAGGGTGCAAAGAAAAAAGTTTTTTCTTGTGCAATTGTTGCTGAATTTTTCTGTTTTGTGTGGAGTGTCGTCAACGCAGCATTATAAAAAAAAAAAAAAATGGATTTGGCGAAACATACGAGTATAAGACCCCTGGCTGGAGAAGTGGATTGGCCCATTTGGAAAAGAAAGTTGCGTGATATGTTGGACTATCATGAAGGCGCCGTTGACGTCATTGAGGGGAGGTTAAGCAAACCTGAGCCCATATCAGCTATGGCTACGGAGGAGGAAGTCAAAACGCATAAGAAGGCGTGTGACCTTTTTCGTAAGGCAAATAGTTATGCAAAATCAATGATTTCTAGTTCGGTGACGGACGCAGTTTACCAGAAAATTATGGACAAGGAGACAGCGTTTGAAGCATGGGAGGCATTAAAACTAAATTTTGAAGCGTCATCCAAAGATCAGCTCTACAAGAAATGCACTGATTTGTTTGCATTTTGTTGGGTCAATGGAGAGGATGTTTCACTTCAGGTGGCAAAGTTAAGAAGTCTGTGGAATGAGCTGAATAATGGTTTAAAGTCCAAGAATTTGGCTGCATTACCAGATTTAATACTAGTGTGTAAAATTTTGCATATTTTACCAAGTAACTTTGAAAATTTCAAGTCTAGCTGGTTGCTATTATCAAAAGACGATGATAAGACAGTTGAAGAGTTAATAGCACAACTATGCATGTACGAACGAAATTTCAAAGAGGTCACGGTCACAGAAGATGCTCCCGGAGATGCGTTATTTGCAAGAAGTGCAAAAATCAAACCTATTAGAAAGTCCAGGAAAAATGACAGTTGTTATTATTGCAAGAAAAAAGGGCATTGGATGACACAGTGTCAGAAGTGGATTTCTGATGGACGACCGAAGAAGAGTAATCCTCAGAACAACACTGTGTGTACCAATGTAGCCTTAAGTATCACCGATGAAGACATGCTTCAAATGGATACCAGTTCATTGGAAGATTTAGGATGGTGGATCGACAATGGAGCGACGAAGCACGTGACTAGCTGTCCGGATCAGTTCGTTGAGTTCCAAGAGTTTGTAGGTCCTCGCATCATCAAGGCTGCTGGAAAAGAAACCCTTAAGGCCGTTGGCAAAGGGACCGTAGAAATTTTATCCTTTACTGAAGTTGCCACCTTGAAATTATCCTTGACTGATGTTTGGTATGTGCCAGGAATTTCTAGAAACTTACTTTCCGTTCTAGCTGCCCAAGACAAAAATGAAAATAGCAGATTTCATTCAACCGCAACTGAGTGCTGGCTAGAAGTAAATAACAAAGTAGTGCTGTGCGGAAATCGAGAAAAGGGTGGAACTCTGTTCAAGGCAGCCATTGAACCAGTAATTTTTGGAAGAGAAGAAAGGGTAAATATCTCAGAAGCAGAAAGCTCGACACTGCAATTGTATCACGAGAGATGGGGTCACCAGGATAAGCGACATGTAAAGGAGATGCTCAAAAGAGAGTTGGACATCAATGTGAAGCTAGTCAAAGAGATTTGTGAGCCTTGTATTTTTGGCAAAACACATCGTCTACCTTTTGGCACCAGAGTGACAGCAACGAAACCTGGAGAATTGGTTTCAGCTGATATTGTAGGTCCATTTTGCGAATCTTTTAGCAAAAAACGTTTTTTAGTTATGTTTAAAGACAGTTTTACTAAGTTTCGCAGCGGGTATGTGATTAAACACAAATCAGATGTTAAGGTTGTGTTAAAGCAGTTTTTGGCACAGTCGAAGACACTTGGACACAATATTCGAGAGCTACTCAGTGACAATGGAGGGGAATTTGACTGTGTAGAAGTCAGGAGGATTCTAGCAGAGAGTGGAATCGTGCAGAAACTGACAGCACCATACACCCCAGAACAGAATGGTGGGAGTGAACGTGATAATCGTACGGTTGTTGAGATGGCAAGAACATTTAAGTACTCAAATCGCGAAGTTGAGTTTCCAGATGCAATATGGGCAGAGCTGGTAACTACGGCGATTTACGTACTAAATCGGACAGGTAAATCATCAAAGAAGGGAGTTAGTCCTTACGAGTTGTGGTTCGGGAAGAAACCTAGAATTAAACATCTGCGTATTGTTGGTTCATTCTGCTATGTTCATGTACCGACTGAGAAGAGGAAGAAAATGGACAAGAAGGCAGTGAAAGGAATCCTGGTCGGATATGATGGTGATGAGCGTTACAGAATTTATCTTCAAAGTAATCATCATGTTATTACGTAATGTGACAGTAAAGTTGATTTACCATTGAGAGACATTGAATATGAAAGTCAAGGTAAGATCAAAAAACATGACGATAGTGATGAGGATGTGATCGAAGAAGAAGAAAAGGATTATGAGTCATCAGTTGACATTGAAGATAAGATTGAGACCAGTAACAGGAAAATACTAAGAGATCGTTTGACTCTGAAGAAGCCCCAGCATTTTGATGCTAACGCCATGACAATAGATCAGTTCGTGAATCTAATGCCTAAAGATCCTGAGACCTTCGAAGATGCCTTGAGGAGTGAGAACTCAGCTCAGTGGGAGAAAGCCATGGATTGTGAAATTGCTTCTTTGAAAGAAAATAAGACCTGGATTTTGATTGATCTTCCACCAGGTGCAAAGGCAATTCCATGCAAGTGGGTTTTCCGGCTGAAAAATCATCCAGGCGGGAGCATTGACAAGTTCAAAGCAAGACTTGTAATCAAGGGATTCAGTCAGCGTTACGGGATTGATTATAGTGAGACTTTTAGTCCAGTGGCAAAGTTGGGAACCATTCGTTCGGTTCTCAGTATTGCAGCAAGTGAGAAAATGTGTCTGACACAATTTGACGTGTCGACAGCCTTCTTGTACGGAGACCTTGAGGAAACAGTCTACATGAAGCAACCAGAAGGATATGAGGATGGTTCCAACAAGGTTTGCTTACTGAAAAAGAGTTTATATGGACTTAAGCAAGCACCTAGATGTTGGAACAAGCGTATCGGAGTTTTTCTTCAACAACATGGATTCAAGGCCAGCGAAGCTGATCCGTGTTTGTATATTAGGGAAAGAAATGGTAAGAAGCTCATACTTGTGATCTATGTTGATGATGGTCTTCTAGCAACGACCGATCAGCAAGATTCAGACGACTTCATTAAAGAATTAAAGTCGGAATTCAAGATTGTTTCGAGAAGAGCTAATTTTTTCTTGGGTCTAGAAATTGCTCAAGAAGAGAAGTGCATTAGGATTAGCCAAAAGGCTTATGCAAAGAAAATTCTACAGAGATTCAATTTCTTAGATTGCAAACCAGTGTCAACTCCTATGTCCAAAGGGACAGAGACTTTAGGATCAGGGAAAGTTGATGAGTCCATCACATTTCCTTATAGACAGGCAGTTGGAGCCCTGATGTACCTGATGCTTGGAACAAGACCAGACTTGGCCTACAGTGTAGGATTCATTTCGAGGACACTCGAAAATCCAACTCAAGAGAGCGTTGTACGAGTCAAGAGAATTTTTCGGTACATAGCAGGTACTCTAGACTCTGGAATAACCTATCAAAGCAATAAAGAAGTGGGAGTATTAGAAGTTTACAGTGACGCAGACTTTGGCGGTTGCTGTAAGACAGGGCGCTCCACTTCTGGCGTTCCCGTAAAGTATGCAGGAGGTGCAATTTCCTGGATGAGTCAGCGACAGGCAGTTGTTGCAACTTCAACCACCGAAGCAGAGATTATTGCAGCAAACGAAGGAGCCAAAGAAGCAGTTTGGTTAAGCAGACTTTTTCAAGGGATTGTGAAACTTAGGAATATTCCTGTCATTCAAGTTGACAACTCTGCAGCAGTGAGACTAGCACAAAATCCGGAGTTTCATCGCAGAACCAAACACATTGCCATCAAACACTTTTTTATAAGAGAAAAGTGACAGCCAGCGGCAAGATGTTGGCGCTTATGAATAGAATACTGGACTGGTTCCGCAGCCTCTTCTGGAAGGAGGAAATGGAATTAACACTCGTCGGATTGCAGTACTCCGGCAAAACGACGTTTGTTAATGTTATAGCTGTAAGTCCTTCTAAATATTTCAATACCACAATAAAATCCTAGTACAAACAAAGACACTCAAATAATTCATGTTTTCATCTGCAGAGTGGACAATTCAGTGAAGACATGATCCCCACTGTGGGTTTCAACATGAGGAAGATCACCAAAGGTAATGTCACCATCAAAGTGTGGGACATTGGCGGCCAACCCCGATTCAGATCCATGTGGGAGAGGTACTGCAGGGGTGTTAATGCTATTGTGTGAGTATAAGTAATTAAATCATTTTTTTATTTTTAAATTTTTGTATGAGTCATGTGATTGATGTGTTAAACCACCATTGATTTATGTTGATGTCATTATTCTATTGTAGTTATATGGTGGATGCAGCCGACTCTGATAAGATTGAAGCTTCAAGGAATGAGCTGCATAACTTGTTAGATAAGCCACAGTTGGCTGGGATTCCAGTGCTGGTTTTGGGCAATAAAAGGGACTTGCCACATGCGCTGGATGAGAATGGTTTAATTGAAAGAATGTGAGTATATAGGAATAATATTTGCTATGATTAACATGATAATGGGGTTTTAATGACTTTGCAAACAAAAATTTGCATTGTTATCGAGTGTAAAGTGCGGTATATGCGGTTTTATCAGAAATTACTCGGTAAATATTGATATATGATGCGGATTTTCATGAAATTTTGGAAGTTGATGCAGAAATAAATATTCTTTTGGAATATTTTTGAAATTTTGGAATATCTTTGTTAGTTTTCTTGTAATTGACCGCGAAATGTTCTACAAGCGCTTTTTTTAAACAATTTACTCTATAATTATTAAAGTATGATGCGGATTTTCATGAAATTTTGGAAATCAACTCAGAAATAAATATTCTTTTCAATTGTTTTTTAAATTTCAAAATATCTCAACTAGTTTTCTTGTAATTAAGCGCGAAATGTTCCAAAAATGCTTTTTTAAACAAATTGCTCAATAAATATTAAAGTATGAAGCGGATTTTCATGAAATTTTGGAAATCAACTCAGAAATAAATATTCTTTTCAATTGTTTTCGAAATTTTAAAATATCTCTACTAGTTTTCTTGTAATTAAGCGCGAAATGTTCTACAAACGCTTTTTTTAAGCAAATTACTCAATAAATATTAAAGTTTTCAGCGAATTTTCATGAAATTTTGCAAAGTGACTAATAAATGAATATTCTTTTCAATTGTTTTTTAAATTTTAAAATATCTCAACTACTTTTCTTGTAATTAAGCGCGAAATGTTTTGCGAGCGCTTTTTTTAAACAAATTACTCGATAACTATTAAAGTATGAAGCGGATTTTTTTGAAATTTTGCAAATCAACTCAGAATTAACTATTCTTCCTAAATATTTTTGAAATTTTAAAATATCTCAACTAGTTTTCTTGTAATTAAGCGCGGAATACTCTCCAAGTGCTTTTTTCAACAAATTACTCAATAAATATTAAAGTTTTCAGCGAATTTTCATGAAATTTTGCAAAGTGACTAATAAATGAATATTCTTTTCAATTGTTTTTTAAATTTTAAAATATCTCAACTAGTTTTCTTGTAATTAAGCGCGAAATGTTCTACAAGCGCTTTTTTTAAACAATTTACTCGATAATTATTAAAGTATGAGGCGGATTTTTTTGAAATTTTGCAAAGTAACTCAGAAATAAATATTCTTTTCAATTGTTTTTGAAATTTTAAAATATCTCAACTACTTTTCTTGTAATTAAGCGCGGAATACACTCCAAGTGCTTTTATCAACAAATTTTGCAATAAATATTAAAATATTCTGCAGATTTTCATAAAACTTTACAAATTAACTCATAAATAAACATTCTTTCAAAATATTTTTGAAATTTTAAAATATCTCTACTAGTTTTCTCATAATCAACCAACAAAGTATAATTTCAACAAAATTTCTTGTCTACTAGGAACTTGTCAGCGATCCAAGACCGTGAAATCTGCTGTTATTCAATTTCGTGTAAGGAGAAAGACAACATCGACATCACACTACAATGGCTGATCGCGCACTCGAAAAGCGGCATGCGCTAGACGCGTTTTTCTATGAAAAAAAACCTTGCTTCACTTGTGCTTTGATAAACCTACCAATTAAGGGGAAACACTTTAATCATGAAGCGCGAGCAAACATAATAGAAACAAAACAACTAGAATTTACATTTATGCAAACCGCAACGTTTTGTATAAAGGCTTCAAGAATATGTAAATGTAATTAATTACTATATCGATTATATATGAATTTAGCTGGTTGATAACAACATCAATTGCACAAAGATTCAAATTATATGATGCTTAAACTGCAACCGCAACCAAGAGGCAAGATGAATGCGTGTTGCGTGTAAAATGTACATAAGTGTAATGTACGTGTTGAAATATTTTGTTTTTATAATCTCAATTCTCAATGCATTTACCTTTTCAAAAACAAAAACAAAAAATCGGCTTGGATGCAATTACCGCAAGAATGTCAAAGATGATAGACACGAAATATCAGATGGAACCTCTTGTACTGATTAACATATAAAAAGATACCTAGGGTATAACTATCTATAATTAATCTAAATACTAATTAGAGTAATGTATGAGCATTGAGTTTCGAAGTTATATACAAGTTATTAGGTTTAATTTACACAAAGAACAACCAATTATATTAAACACTTTTAATTGAGTCTCATTCAGTAGTGATTAATACTTGAAAGATTATAATACGTAGTGCGTATGATTAATAATATTGAATAAGACGCACGAAAATCTGGATTTGAGTTGATTTAATTTGGGTTTTTGTTCAGCGTTTCTGTGATTTTGTGGCTGAGCAATTGTTTCAATATATTTTTTATGTGTCCATGCAATAGATTGTTTTATATTTTGATAAAATGCGAAAATGGTTTTGTTTATTGCAATGTATTTGATTGTTTTTGTTTATTTTTTGTAATAGTAATCGAAGTGTAAGAAATTTGTGAGGAGACTGTGCTCTCTTTATTGATAATAAATAAAAATGTATAGAATGACAACCAACATGAATCATGAATCAAATAAAATGTAATAAACATTTATTTATGTTTTTTTATTAATTGCAGAAGAAAATTTTGCAATATTTTATCATTATATAGTCGATCATTTTTATTTTATTATGAAAATACATTGATAAATTTGTTTTTGTCATGTTTTGATTGAAATTTCGACGCATGGATCAAAAATACAGAAGAAATATGATGTTTACATACGTGGGACTGTTCCGGTTGATAACTCCAGTCCTTCTGAACACTGTTGGCGTTGTGCGATGCCCTTTATACCTTCGGAAAACCCGCACAAAGTAGTGGGACAATAATAACTCACACAGGTTATGTCCTTGGTTGCGCATGACTTAAACAGAGTGGGGAAAGTCACACGTTGTGTGGGTTGCCTACGTTAACATAAAATATTGTTTATTTACACCACAATCATTTCTAAACATAATATATTGCTAATTTAACACAAAATTGTTACGATATTTTATCAATACACAATCAATAACATTCAATTTTATAAAGAAATACGTTAAAAAACTTGTTTCATGATGTTTTGATCAAAAATTAGTTGCATAAACCAAAAATAAACAAGAAAGAGGGCGCTACATACCTGTGATTGTTCTATTTGATAATACCGGCCCTTCTAAACACTGTTTTGTCCTTCTTCATACTTTTTTATAGCTTCAGACAACCCGCACAAAGTTATGGGACAATATAAACTCACCAAGGTTATGTTCTTAGTTGTGCACGACTAAAAACAGAGTGGGAACAGTTGCATGTAAGTTGGGTTGCCTACATACACATAGCATATTAAAACATTATTTATTATACTTTCTAAACAAAATATATGCCTATCAGTACAGCGTGCTGCCTTAAAATAATAAATTATAAAACACAATCAATAAAATCAATAAAACGTCTTAATTGTAAATATATTTATTCAGATTATTCCAACTAAAAGAATAATCAATCTTCAAATGACCGTAGTTACTTAACTTGAAATGTTTGGGTTTAGGTCGATGTGATAACGAACTCCTGATATCATCGTAAATCGGAGATGATCCTGTCGAATCATATATATCCGAACGCATGTATTGATCATCATTGTAGATCGATTGATGCGTACGATAAGAATCATACCTAAATTAATAAAAAAAATTAAAGAAAAAATAAACAAAAACAATAAAAGCCGCCATTTTGTGACTTAACTTACTCTAAATCCCCAACTGAGAAACTATGACTCCTTGACTTCGCCATTTTGGCCACAGGACCATCATTCTTACTCATCTGATGTTGTCGTCGCAGAGTTTTATTCTTCTCGTAGATTTGCATGCTGGTATTCTCCGGAATACCATACAAATCGGTTTCTGTAACACAACACAAAAGTTACGCGAAATTAGCTGCATTAACAAGGCATAACAGCGCAGAATTTCAACGCATTTAATGCTTTCTATCTTCTTCACGCATTTGCCTGCTATAACACGACAATTAGAGAATAACAACTCGATTAAACCTCATTTTCTATTATTTACAACAAGATAAAACATAAATTAAACGTATTTTAAGGTTAGTTATACTCCAACGCCATCTACGGATGAATTACAAGACTAATATGCAAAATTCCATTGAAATATCATAGAAAAACATAAAATAATTGAAAAAGAAAGTAATAAGTCATAAAATTTCGGTATGGAGCACAGGTATAATTAAGCTGAGTATTTTTAAGGCATTACTTTTACGATTTCATTCGCCGCGTCGAAGATGGAAAGTTGTCGTCCATATTCATGGCCAAAGACTTGTTTTCGGTCATCCGAAGCGACGAAGATGAAAATAAAAAAGCTAAAGTAACACACTGGATCAATAAGCTATTGAAGCTGCTTTACTTTATGGCAGCGAAAGTTGCTTTACTTAAAGCAGCATTTCGAATTCCCACCGGCGGCCATGGCGGCCATTTTGACCATGACAATTTTCATAAATAATTTAATTGATGCATTGCGAAATTGTTTTGTAATTGTTTTCACTATCACAATCACTAAATCGTCCGCAATTAAAAATTTGATGAAATCAAAACTTATTTTAATTAATACGTGTAATTAACAGTTTATTAGTAGTAATTAGTTAGAATAAGTTGTGAACTTCACGGTTTGTGGTTTGGAATATTGTTTGCAATTGTATGAAGTTGTTGGATGATTATTATTGGTTAAAATGGTGCATTGATGAAGAAAATGAAGTGTATTAGGTGTATTATGTGTGTGCATGCGCGTGTGAAACAAAGGTCGCCATTTTGTGGCTTATCAGAGTGGAAGAGATTCGCGTGACATTCATGTTGGGTTTTCGAGGCGTGAAAAGGCGTTGATGCACACGACAGATTAAGATAATGGGTTAACTGGTTAGGAGGATAGATTTGAGGTTATGTGTGAGTATCTAGGCAACTATATTTACATATTGAACAAAAAAATAGATGAAAATATGTTGTTTTGTGTGTAAATTGGATAAATTTCTCAAAAAAATATATTAAAATGTTAATAACTCGAAAACTATTTATGATAAGGACGCCATTTTGATTTTATTTTATAGGTATATGTTTAAACTATAAGATAGCTTTTGAAAAACTTTTTAAAATATTATATTTTATCAGATATTTGATAAAATCTGCCAATTTTATGATTTAATTTTAGTGCGTTTTTTAAAGTCTTGTAACTTTGTTATTTAAAGTCCTATAGTATTAAATTTTATATCATTAGAAAGAGAATTTATTCTAGTTTTAATCATCAAAAGATTATAAATTTATACCTTGCCGTTTTTACGTAAAAAGCAAAAAAGTGCAACAAATGCAATTTCAATAAACCTGACACCCTAGGCAACCCTAATAACACAAAAACACAAAAATAAACTAAAATAAATTAATCTCCGTTAGTTATTCCTTCTTTCCATGTAATGCAAATATATTAATATGCAACAAGGTCCCATTTACAGATTGTGTAATGTTTTGAACCATCCACACACGTTAAACACCGCAATCTTCCATTTTAGTAGCGTGTGTGATCACGATGATCATGATGATCGCTGATTATCGCTCAGCACGGATGTGCCACTTCCTACACCAATAAACCTTCTTTGGCACACGTCCTCCACAATTAGAAATTGCCGGTGCGCACCACACCGCAAACACATACAATATTCATGCATTTACAACATTTACAAACGCAGCCAAGAAGAAAAACACAACAGAAGAACTAAATTTGTTTGTTTTTTCTGCGCGTACAACATTTACAGCATTACAAAAGTTACAAGGTGACGATTATTAATATTTCTATTGTTTGCTAATTGCTACAGCCGGTGAAATTATGATTTGTTTGAACAATTAGATATTAGTAGCGAAGGTTGCCTAGGTTAACGTGTTTTATGCATTGTATCATCAAGGGCGTCAAAATTTTGCATAAAAACAATAAAAATCAAGTTTTTAAGATGTAAATGTTGTGTTTAACTATTTTAAACCCTTGTGTAATAAATATTTAACACCGTAACGAAACAGAAAGCATAAGAAAGCCGGAACAAAACCAATTTGCATATCTCAGCGTGTATCTGAATGTATCTTTACGTAATTTTAATTTAAAAGCGTAAAATCGCCCAATTATTAGCAGCGTGACACAAGTGTAACAAGTGTATGGCCAGTGTAATGATATAATTGCTTGATTTCCGTCGGTTGGTGAAGTTTATCGAATCTTTTCCTACAATTTCACAAGCCACCAAGCACGAGCACGAGGAAATAAAACCGCTCACCGGTCACTAGAAAATTCGTAGCAGCCAGGTACGAGTTATAGTTAGTATTTGTGTACACAGGTAATTACGAAAGGAAAGTCGGACATTCAAGTTGAAATGGAAAAAAATTGATACTTTAGATGCCATGGATGTTATTACATATAGAAATTTAGACATATCACTATTTATGTTGGGTTTATGTGGTTTAAGTGACGAGTGTTTTTATGGCGTTGTAACTTTGTTATTTGACGTCGTAAAGTGTTGAATTTGATATCATTTGAAAGAGAATTTAATTAAGATTTTACGTGTAAAAAGGATTTAGTTTTATATGTTGTCGTTTTTATGTGAGAAGATAAAAAGTGCAACGTTGCAATTTTTTTGAAAATTAAATAAAAACATTGATAACTCAGGAAGTATTAGTGATAACAGCGCCATCTTAATTTTGTTTTATAGATATTAATCTAAACTAGAAGGTGAACTTCAAAAAAGTTTTTAAAATATTGTATTTGATTAAATATTTAACAAAATCTGAAAACTTAAAAACTTGATTTTTAGTTTTCAGTATTAATGTTTTTATATTGTTGTAACTCAATTATTTATTATTTAAAATTATCAAATTTGACATCGTTAGAAAGAGAATTTATTTGAGATATAACCTACAAAATATTATAAATTTACACGTTGCCGTTTCTCGGTAAAACCAAAAAAAGTGCAACGTTGCAATTTTCCCCAAACTTAAATAAAAACCTCTATAACCTAAAAACTATTCATGATACCAACGCCATCTTTTTTCCATTTTATAGATATTAACCTAAACTACCCGATAGGAATCAAAAAAATTTTAAAAACAACATATTTTACCAAATATTTACAAAAATATGAAAATTTTCATAACTTACCTGTTGGTTCATAGTTGTACTGCTCATAAATATCCTCCCTGGGCATAACTTTACTCCCTGACCCTCTCCTGACATAAGTCCCATATTGCTGCGCCGGTGGTTGCACAGGCAACGACCCCCCATAAATAGACCCCGCATGGGACGCTCTCCGATGGCGTCTTGAGCTCGCAATCTCGTTGCGAATCAAGAGCTCATCAATCGCCGCATAACTCCCAGCCATTCCACCCCTCAACCCTCTATCCCTCTCAGACCTAGCTATCGTATCATATCTAGTCGTAGGTACAGTGGGCACCTTCCTCATAGTATAATAATACTCAGCATCTTGGTTATACTGCGAGTGTTGTGAGTGTTGCGTATCGTAGATCTTCTCAAGACGTTCTCCGCCCATGGTTCGATGATGGTAGTAAATACTCTCATCGTCTTGATGTGTAGGGGGTAGTTCAAGGGGACGTGCGGGGATGTAGTAGAACGCGGAGGTTTCCTGCGGTTCTCCGAGACTACTAGGGTCGGAGCTGAGGTCGACGGAATCAAGGTGTTGGCGGATGTAGGCGTAGTTTTCCAGGTCCCAGGGGTCTATGTATTGTTTGTTGGGGTACGGCATGGATTCATCACTGTCTAAATCCATTGGATTCCAGTATAAATCATCGGGGCCGCGGTCGGCATCTGGAAATTATAAAAAACACAAATTTATGATTACACAATTTTATAATTTAGGTTTTTTGGGTTTTATGTTTGTAGTATAGTCTAGGGAACATTTTGGAAAAGAAGAGGAAGGGTGGGAGAGGCTAATGCATCTACCCCCACCACTTTTTGCGGGTAGTTTGCAGGTATAAAAGGAAAGCGCGTATAAAATCGTCTATAACTTGGAAACTATTTATGATATGGACGCCATTTTAATTTTATTTTATAGATATTACTCTAAACTATAAGATAGACCTTGAAAAGTTTTTAAAATATTGTATTTTATCAGATATTTAATAAAATATATAATTTTATTGACTTAATTTAAGTGCGTTTTTCAAAGTCTTGTAACTATGTTATTTAAAGTCCTACAATATTGAATTTGATATCATTTGAAAGAGAATTTATTATAGATTTAACCTGCAAAAGATTATAATTTAAGACGTTGCCGTTTTTACGTGAGAGTAAAAATGTGCAACGTTGCAATTTTCTTAAAAATTGATAAAAACATCAATAACTCAGAAACTATTCATGATAACGACGCCATTTTTTCGCCATTTTGAAGCTATTACCCTAAACTATAAGATACTCTTAAAAAAATTGTTTCAAATATTAAATTTTACCAGATATTAAACAAAATCTATAATTTTACAAACACAATACAAATACAAAATGATTATTGTGAAAATTCATTGCGTGGAAAGTTGACACGCAATTTACGAGTATATTATCTACATTATGTGGCAATCATGTACGACATACGAATACACAACTCATTTGTAGATTTGTACCGTTTTGTTTTCGTACACGCCGATGAATAATGAAATTCGCGTGTCGCATGTAATCGAATCTCTGCGCGATATTCACTCGTATTCCCAACACCGCTGAATGTACGTACGCGTACGAATTGTGACATAATAACTGCTTCATTATTCCATGCAAGTGCAATACAATAACATCAACATCAACATCAACACGTACGAAATTCAAATTCAGATTTAAATTTGAATTGGAATTCAACTTAAATGCAAATAAAATAAAACAGTTAAACTGTTAAACTTAAATGAAATGTTCGAGTAATTCTGTTTTACATTCATTACATTACATTACATTCATGAGCATCGTTTGTTTTAGTTGTTCAATTGTAAACACATAAAATTCTATGGTTACACTCAACTAAAGTTGCAGATATGTAAGAAAAGTAACATTTTATTTAAGTTACATGTTACTACATAGCTTAAATACGCGGTATGAACACAATGTGGATTGTAAATCGTGGATTAAACACGATCTTGTGTGAAAATCTGTGAATGCAGTGAGGAAATTCTATTTTTGTAGTTTTGCGAGTACGTGTACGTAGTGCGTGAGTAAATGTAAACAAAGCGAGTATAAAATCAAACAAAATACGTAACACAACTTTTACAACGTAAAAAAAACAATTAAAGAGAAAATTTTGAACAAAAATTTAAGAGTTTTATATGTTTTGCATTACTAAAGTGTATGTTGGGTTGCCTATATTAGAAATAATTTTATTTTCACTAAGAAATTTTTCTTTTTTTTCTTTGTCCACTGTCCAGTGATTTTCCTTTCACTACACCATTATAACTAACAGTAACTGGTTCGCATTCTTCATAGCACCGTTAATTCCGTATTTATTATTGAATATTTTTACTATTATTGCAGTTCCTGATTGATACTCAATAAAAACATACAGATAATTATATAATCCAAGCACTATGCGTAAATTTGTAATAAATTATCAAGCAAATTGCAAAGTTCCATAAATCAGTTCCATAATTATAGCTGTTCATCTTAAATTCTTAATATTTCACATTCTTTGCAAATTTATTAACGATATGCAACCAGTTATGCAATGCACAATTCATAACTTATATAAAAACACAAAAAATAAATCAATTTAGATTATTTAGAGTAATGTGTAATGTCGAGTGCAAATTATAGTCTCAACAAGTGTTAAAGTGTTACGTTTGGTTAGCCACATCGATTAAATTCTCGTTAGACATCATTATAACCTCAAATATTTGACTTGACGCCTACTTCTTGGTTCTTTTGCTTCTCTTGGTTTCTCTACAAGCATTCATGACACAAATATTCTTCACGTTCGATTTCTAGTTGTAGTTGACCATATAGACAACTTTCGGTTGCGTTATTGCACGACGATAGTCTTTTAATTGTTTATGAATTGCCTAACGTGATTATGAGTATGATAGTAGGTAGAAACAAGTAGGTCTAGTTTAAACAAGTGAACTTTTCGTTGATTCTTATATAAATGTTTATATATGTGTGTGTGGAATGTATCGGTGAAGTAATAGTGTAGTTAATGATTTTTTGGAAATTAAAATGTCATTTCGTCGGGATTTCCAAACACTAACTTAACTAGGCAACCAGATAAACACGTAGTACTTAAATTAAGTTTTTTTGGGTGATAATTGGTTTTAAATTACGTGTGACAAACGTAAAATAGTCAAAAATAGATTTGTGGATTTATAAATAAATGATTTTATGTAATTTAAACGTGAAAACGTTGAAAAACTTTGAAAATAGTCTAAAATTGAGGTTATGTAAAAAAAATGCGTTACTATCTGATGATTTTAACCGAAAATTTAATGATAAATAAGAAAACTCATAAATTTAGACAACAAATAGCAATTTTTATATAATTAAACCGAGAAAAACTTTAAAAATAGTCTAAATTTGAGGTTATGTAACAATAAGCGTTAATAATTAAATATTTTAACTAAGAATTTAATAACAAGTAAGGAAACTCATAAATTAAAGCTAAAAATAACAGTTTTAACACAATTAAACAATAAAAAACGCTAAAAATAGTTCAAATTTGAGGTTATGTAAGAATAACCGTCAATAACTAATTATTTTGACTAAAAACGTAATGACAAAGCAGGAAACTCATAAATTTACACTACAAATAGTAATTTTAATATAATTATATCGTGAAAAACGTTAAAAATAGTCTAAATTTGAGGTTATGTAAGAACAATCATTACTAACTAATTATTTTAACTAAAAATTTAATGCCAAAACCAAAACTCATAAATTTAAACTTTCTACATCTAAGTACCACAACTAAATTGAGTGAATAATTTATTTTTTGTTGTTCTGTCGAGACAATCGTTTAAAGACAAAACAAAATACCATGTAAATGACAATACGCAATGCGGTGCAACGCAATCAACGACATAATATTCAAAGAAAAAGTTAATGCAGCGCACAGAAAGAAAGAAACTCTCTGGTTTGAATAATGTTCGAGTCGATTATCATTCGGGTGACATAATATCGCATTTCTTGCATTTCTTTAGATGCTTATTAACAACGCGCGCAGAAAAAAAAGAAACAAAAGTTGTTGCAATACAAGTAGACGCAAATCAAGACGTAAACATTGGAGTGAAACAAGTGGAACATTAAAAAACACTTAGAGATGCTTCATTTGATGAGATTTTGTAAATTTGCATAATAAAAATATAAATAAATAAGAATAAGTTGAATTTCTGGTAATATTTGAGGTTATTTTATTATAAAACTTGAAAAAATTATGTTTTTTAAAGAAAAATTTAATTTTTTGTGTTGTAGACGATAATATTTAGTGATTTTGCATAATAAAATTATAAATAAATACAATTTCTTTGAATTTTTGAGGTTATTTTATGGAAAAACATAAAAAACAATGTTTTAAGTAAAATTTAAGAGAATTCAAATGTTATTTTATGATTTTACATGATAATAACATAAATAAACACAATTTCTGTTGATATTTGAGGTTATTTTATAGTAAAACATGAAAAAATTATGTTTTTTAAAGAAAAATTTAATTTTCTGTGTTGTAGAAGATAATATTTAGTGATTTTGCATAATAAAAATATAAATAAATACAATTTCTTTGAATTTTTGAGGTTATTTTGTGGAAAAACATTAAAAACAATGTTTTAAGTAAAATTTAAGAGAATTCAAATGTTATTTTACGATTTTACATGATAATAACATAAATAAACACAATTTCTGTTAATATTTTAGGTTATTTTGTACAAAAACATTAAAAAATGATGTTTTTTAATAGAAAATAAAGAAAATTTAAACACTTACATTGATTTTCCGTGTTGTAGCACTCAATTAAAAGAACAAATGTGTTTCTTAAGTCTTAATTCACCATAGAGTAATGCCCGCACGCGCGTTTCGATGCGTCCGCGCACGTAAACACCGCGCGACTGACTGCGACTGACTGACTGACTTAACTCACCGACTCAACTTCAGCAACAGCGTTCTTCGCGACCTGCGGTGCGCTACTACTTCTTTTCTTACTACTGTTACTAATGTTACTACTGTATCAGGTGCATGGTATGAATAAACAACATTTCTGGACCTTGCTCGTCTGCTGAACACTAAACACATTACAATGTCATTTAATTACTTAATATTTCATTTATTCCTACTAATATTATAAATGCGAAAGTCCTGATGTTTGTTACACTTTCACGCAAAAACTACTTAACCGATCATCATGAAAATTTGTACACATATTCTTAGTGGTCTCCGAATGGTTATAGGCTACTTTTTATTTAATAAAAAAAATATTTTTGAAATAAAATAAAGAAATAATTTAGCCAATAATACCTCTGCATCTGGCTATTTGACTACTTTAACGCCATCTAGCATTCCAGCAATGAAGCTCAAACCTAAGTACTATAGTACCATCACACTGTATTATCACACTGTATTACCGACAGCTACGTCAACATCAAATCCAATTGACTACACTATGGAGACTGTACACTATACTTCCATAGACTATACTTTCAGCCATTTTAAACTTCCCGCCATTCTACTTCATTGTTACTTCTTCTGTGACTACAGACGCGTACGGAAGCAACTTCATTATTTTAGATATTCGCGAGCGAAGCCAAGGGTTAAAGCTAGTTTTTAATATTTTTTAAGTTTAAACACACAAAAACTTAAAATTTTGATAAAAATCACTTGTGTATTTGTTGGTTATAATTTTATCTTTACTTTGATATGTGTTTTATGAAGTTTGGGGAAAGTAAAGAGAAGTTATCAATAAAAAACGTTTGAAATGTTTTGATATTATTTATTTACAGAAAGAAAGTGAATTTCTTTAATTTCACACATGTGCGTATGCTAATCAACTGCACAACCACTTTGGAACAAAACGAGTGGTACAAGTGGTAATTAATGAATTTAATTAAATTAATGTTTTATTAATGGACAGGCACGTTCAGCGAGTGAAAGTTTCTGCCTGTTTATGTCCGTCAAACTCGCTTCTGCTCAACAACTCAATATATTTATTGTAAATTATTATTTTAAAAGAAAAACGGAAATAAATCTAACTTTAGCTAAGTGTATATTTGGTTGCCTAATGTTTTAGGTAAATATTTAAGTTTTTCTTGACAAAAATAGAAGCACTTCGTATATTTACCTGTAAATTAATAAAAACGACTCTTAGCTTAAGTGTATGTTGGGTTGCCTAATGCCACATACAAAAAATCAATGGTTTAATGCATATATTTAGTTTTTCTTAGATAAAATCATCATGATTATCATATTGTTATTTAGCTGGTGTCCATTTGAACCAAGAAAAACGGCTCGCGTGGCAACTCACAGTCCACCTCATCAACGTCCATTTTGTCATCAAAAACGCTGAGAATTGTGACGCTGGTTGCAAACATTCAACATCTTTGAGGTGCACATATTGCGGCGATAGTTTCATGTATTTTCCATGATATTCAACCGCAATTTCGTTGAAACTCACTTTGGGCTTGGAAGATTTGGTTTGGACGTAATTATTGGGCTGCATCACGCTGCGGAGATCTTATTCAATGGTAATCAATGGCAATGAACATGAAAATCATGAAAAATGAGGATTTTGTGCGTTTGACGTGAATTTTGATGTTTGTGACTAATTAGCACACTCTAGCGGTGAAATTGGGAAACTGGTGATTATATTTGGTTGCATAGGTAATATTCTGTCAATTTTAAGTGTCTAAGTTGGTTACACGTTGATTAAATAAGTAAAAAATGTGAATTTTTGATGTTTGTGAATCTCTAGCGCAGTCTAGCGGTCAAATAGTGAATTGTTTTGGTTGTATTTGGTTGCATATGTAATGTTTCACATTTTTTAATGAAATTAACTAAATATTTATCAAAAAATAGAGTAATCAATCTAATAAAAGCAAAAATATGATTTTTTCAGTTAAGACGAGAATTTTTGATGTTTGTGAATCACTAGCGCACTCTAGCGGTCAAATTGTGAATTATTTTGGTTGTACTTGGTTGCATATGTAATGTTTTACATTTTTTACTGAAATTAACTAAATATTTATCAAAAAATATAGAAATCAATCTAATAAAAGCAAAAATACGAATTTTTCACTTGTGACGTAAATTTTCGATGTTTCTGGCTCGCTAACACCACCTATCGGTAAAATTACAAACCACATGACTATATTTGGTTGCATAGCTAATGTTTCATCACTTTTAGGCCAAAGAACAAGCGTTACCGATGATGTAAGTTAAATATATTGATGTACGTAGTTCTTATAATATTTTTAATAAACGTATCTTTCTATTTTTATAAATAACAATTAATTGGTTACAAACGCAAGTGTGGTCGCACACTTGGTAGGCCGGCATGATGTTGCTAGATGTCGCTGGTGCTGCGCCTACACGTGTCACCGGGTGTCGGACATGGCTTCCGTTTGGCAACGACAGAGTCGCTCTTCTTGTGTTTTCGCTGCGTTGGTAAAATACAGCCGAGTTGTTATTCGCTTCTGTTTAATATTTGGTGTGGATGAGTTTATTGCGCATGCGCGCTACGCGGCGCAATAAAAATAACGATGAGTGTGTTGTTGTTGGTTTTTTTTTTGGTATTACAACAATAACTGTTATAATAGGATGAAGAATGATAGTTGAAGAATTGTTTTGGATTTTCTTGTCTGACATAACAATTTGATGATTATTGATTTATTAGATAACGCATTCTTATGCAGCCTCGCCGCCCTCCTCTTCCTCGGCGCCGGTGAGCATGGTGATGAGCGCGGCGGTGTCAATCTTGCCGTTGTCATCGATCTCCATGGCGTCGAACGCGTCGTCCACTTCCTTGGCGGTGAATTTGTCGCCCCAGGTCATCAGGGCATGACGGAAGCTGCAATAACCAACAAAACATAAACATAACCTCAATTTATAACTTCTAATGGCGTAGAGTGAATATCTTACGTTTCAGAATCGATGGTGCCGTCCTTATCGAAGGTCTTGAAGGCATCAATGACAACAGTGTCGTCATCGGAGCCACCGGAGTCAGCCATGCGGTTGCCGAAGAGCGACAGCAGCTGGGTGAAGTTGATGGGACCGGAAGCCTCATTAACCATCTCGTCCAGCTCCTTTTCGTTCGATAGTTTACCGACGGTGTCAAAGGTGGCGCGCAGGTCGCTCTTGCTGATGATGCCATCCTTGTCGTGGTCCATCAGCTGGAAGCCTTCCTTGAATTCGGCCACCTGAGTCTGGGAGAACATGGAGAACACATTGGAGCCGGAGCGCTTCGCCTTCTTCGACGAGCTCTTCGACGAGCCCTTGCTGGAGGTTCTCGTTTCGGCGGCGGGGGCGGCAGCAGGCGCGTCCGCGGGCGCGTCTTCCTTCTTCTTCTTCTTTACCTTCTTCTCTTTATCCGCCTAAATTATTACACAAAAAAACAATTTGAATCTTCATCAAAAAAAAAATTCAAAATGGCGGCGCAGAGTGTAATTCCGTACACAGGTCCAAATATAGTCTGACATGATGCCAAGGGGCCAGTTATTTATAGCTCGTGTTACGTAATACAAATTTTTTCGTTTTTTGCTTAAGTCTGTTAGGTTGATTAAGTAATCCAATAATTTTGGTCACTGCACTGTGTGATTTCCCGATGCGGTGTGAATGAATGTGTTTTTTGTTGGTTTTGTTGCAGATTCTAACACTACTTACCATTGTGTCGAAGTATACCTAATGCTCTAACCAAGTTCGACCCGTGACTGCCTTCTGGTCGGGCGGCGCTCGGTTTAAATAACCTCGTGGCGGGCGGCGGGCGCGTGTGTGTGCGGCGGCCTGCCTTATATAGCGCCAGCCGGGAATAGCATGCCGCCGCCGCCGTGGAAACACTATAGGCGCACGATAATAAGTATTTTTTACTCAGCGCATGGCTCATGCGCGTCGGTGTGCGCGTATGCCCATAGTTATGTTACGGCCAGGACAAAGCCTGATTAGCTAAGTCAATTTGATACGTGGCGTGTCATTTTCATTCAAATATTTTGAATATTTTGTGTTTTAAAGGGTTTTTTGTTTGTTTTTGAGGTTATTGGGGTGTGTTTAGTATGGTTATTATAAAATGGTGGATGTAGGAAAGACGCCATTTTTTTCTTTGTTTTTCATTGAAAAAATGTGAAAATTGTATTTTCTTTCACTTTCCAAAAAGTCTTGAGCTGCGTTGGCCCGCGATGACGGCGCTGTGCACGTAAATATAACTTGGTCTATTTTTACAAGATATTCACCTACATTTGTATTTATAAACATTTCTCTTCGGCTCATCTGAAGGCAAAATTGCGGATTCAATCAAAAATACGCAAAAACACTCAATATTTTGAGTTTTAAGCCCAATTTTACTTCCAACAACATAAATAATAACAATAACATCAATATTATTTATTTAAAAGATGATAACTTTATTTATTTTGAATATTTTGATTTATTTTGTTGTATTTTTGTATTTTTTTTAAGTTTAGTTTGAGTTGATGTTCAGTTTGCCAAGAAAAAAGTTCGTCGTAATTAATTGGTTACAGTTTAGTTACAATAGTAGTGTGGTTTGTATTCAGAGCTTGCAAAGCTTGCGAATGAACAATTCGTCGCATTTGTTCCTTGGCTATAATTAGCCGTGGGCGTAAGCTCGCGTAGATGTTTAAAAATCAAAATCTGCGTTGTTATAATCAAGCATTAATAAAAGTAATATAACCTTTAATTTTTTGATTTTCAAAATGCAATAACTCTGGTCTCGATAATCGTAGAGAATTGATTTAAACGTCATTAAAAAGAGAATTTAAAGGAGTTTTATTTTGCCTAAGGAAAATGTGGTATGATTTCTTGTTTTATTGTTATCAGCAAAAGAGTACAACGTAACATTTTGTCATTGAATTGAACACATTTCACATTTTCTCGTTGTAATAAGTACGGTTTGCAATAACGTAGAGAATTGATTTAGACATCGTTAGAAAGAGAATTTAAAGGAGATTTATTCTGTCTAAGGAAAATTAGGTGTGATTTCTCGTTTTTGTGTAATATGCAAAAGAGTGGAACGCTAAATTGTTGAATATTTCATATTTTTTGTGATAAATTGGTTGCCTATCATACAATTAACCTCAGAACTGCATAAAATAAAATAAACAACACAAAATCATGGAATATCATTGATAATTAATGTATACATCATTAAAAACAAATTTTTAAGAAGATTTAACGCCCCTAAAGCAAATTAGATGTCATTTCTTCTATTTCTGCATTTTTCTTAAAACAAAAACATAATTTTTCACAGTTTTAGTGTATAACTGGTTGCCTACCACACAAACACCTCTAAAACCTTGCTAAAATAATTGAAATGAACCAATTGAAGCAATATTCATACTTTTATTCATTGAACTACAAGTACGATGGCTACTAACATTGGTAAGTTAACATCTCATTTCATAGATTACAATTAAAATTAGCAAACTGCATCATATTACAATAACATACATATATGACCGCGAATTATTATCGAAAACCGCCTCTCATTATTGCACACATCGAAACAACGCTGTTAGTATACGGTGTGAATCAAAAATACTGACAGAGAACAAAGTTTCCGATTTGAACAAAATCTGCTCTCCAAAAAAAAAACACAGAAATCGCTTGCAGCTCGCCTGGAATGTTAAATACAATAAAATCTCTGTGTCGCGTGTGTCTTCAGCTAACAATATACAAACTAACAACAAACCTATAAACAATATCAATCTGTACACGAACTCATCCACTGGTAGACTAAGTAATTAATATATGGTTGAATGTTGAAGACATTTGCAGATGAAAATCGTCGCTGGTTTTTTTTTTTCGGTTTTGTTTTGTAATTACATTACTTACACTTACATTTTACAACTCGCCCGCGCAACTGCACTAAAACGTATCTACTTATTGTATTACTTAGGTTTCTCATGTTTCAAACGCTGTGTGTGTGTGTTGTGTGTGGATGAAATTTAGTGACGCGAGTCTCGCGGGTAGAATTCAGCGAGCGTGGTCGCCGGAATACGCTTCAGCATCTCCTTGGGGAAGATACGCAGCAACTGCCAGCCGATATCCAACGACTCGAAGACGGTGCGGTTCTCGTAGTTACCTTGCGTGATGAAATTCTTCTCAAACTTGGTGAGGAACTCCAAATACAGAAGATCATCAGGTGTGAGGGCTTCCTCACCAACCACGGCTTTCATTGCCTGCACGTCTTTACCAATAGCATAACACGCATACTAAAATAAAAATTTTAATTTTTTTTTAAAAAATTAAAAAGACTTACAAGTTGGTTAGAAACATCCGAATGATCCTTACGTGTCATCCCCTCCCCGATAGCCGATTTCATCAAACGCGACAAGCTAGGCAACACGTTAACCGGCGGGTAGATCTGCCGGTTATGCAACTGGCGATCCACGTAAATCTGCCCCTCGGTAATATACCCGGTCAAATCAGGAATAGGATGGGTGATATCATCGTTAGGCATAGTCAAGATCGGAATCTGCGTAATCGACCCATTTCGGCCTTCAACACGCCCAGCACGTTCATAAATCGTCGCCAAATCAGTGTACATGTAACCAGGGAAACCACGACGACCGGGTACTTCCTCCCTAGCGGCTGACACCTCACGCAAAGCCTCCGCATACGAAGACATATCAGTCAGGATAACCAAAACATGCTTCTCGCATTGATACGCCAAGAATTCCGCAGCTGTCAGCGCCAAACGCGGCGTAATAATACGCTCGATAGTCGGATCATTAGCCAAATTCAAAAACAGACAAACATTCTCCATGGAACCATTCTCCTCGAAATCCTGTTTGAAGAATCTTGCAGTTTCCATGTTAACACCCATGGCAGCAAAGACAATAGCGAAGTTATCCTCGTGATCATCCAGGACTGATTTCCCAGAGACTTTTACAAGACCGGCTTGACGACAGATCTGCGCGGCGATTTCGTTGTGCGGCAGACCCGCAGCGGAGAAGATCGGAATCTTCTGCCCACGCGCGATTGAGTTCATCACATCAATAGCGCTAATGCCAGTTTGGATCATCTCCTCGGGGTAGATACGCGACCATGGATTAATAGGTTGACCTTGAATGTCCAGGAAATCCTCGGCGAGGATTGGTGGGCCTTTGTCGATGGGTTTTCCTGAGCCGTTGAAGACACGACCGAGCATGTCTTCGGATACAGGCGTGCGGAGGATGTCTCCGGTGAATTCGCAGTGCGTGTTTTTTGCATCAATACCGGATGTGCCTTCGAATACTTGAACGACGGCTTTGGAGCCGCTGACTTCAAGCACCTGACCCGAGCGCAAAGTCCCATCGGCGAGCTTCAGCTGCACGATTTCAGCGTATTTGGGGAACTTTACATCGTCGAGGATTACCAGTGGGCCGTTGACACCCGAGACTGTCTTGTAGGCTGAAAATGATTGAGATTATTAGGAGTGGCTTGATCATGTGATGCCTCAAACAGCTGATATTGGTGTAAATTCATTATTTTTACTTTTATTTTGTTTATTTTGAGTATTATACTATTTTATGATAGTTTTGATGTTGATTTGTGTGTTTAAACAGCTGAATTAATGAAAATTTGTGTGATCATATGACCTATTTTACCCAGCCCAGTGTATGTGTTATGGTGGCGATAGAAATGAATTTTTACTCACTCAGACGTGGCTGCGAGACGAAATCGCGCGACACGGCGAGGACGTGCTCTTTGTGCGCCGCCCTGGCGCTCATCGAACTCGGATACGACATCTTTCTGGCGTTCACAGGAGAGTTGCACTGAAATCAACCACGGACGACGGTGAAATCAGGACGACAATCAGCTACCAACAGCAATACCAATACCGAGAGGCAATTGTTTCACGTGCTGTCACATGATTACCACCTCTACTGAAAACTTCCAACTTTCACCGTCAGATGTCGCTAGGTACACTAAAACTTATATTATAACAATAAATTAATAAAACTGATAATAATCAGATTAAAACTTAATGAAATAGTTTTATATTATAATAATATATTGTTTAATGTATATTTATTGTTAAATATTGTTTTATTTAGTTAATAAAGTTAATTTTTATGTTTTATGTTGACTAGGCAACCAACATGACAGTTTTATGGAAAATCGTTTACGTAACCATTGTGTATACCCAAAGGATAAACTCAAAACAGTAATATTTATTGTTATCTTTAAGTTTGTTTAAACTAGAAACATAAGTACGCGTCGGTATCTACATGATTTACTAGCAATTGAACCCAAGGCCACGACTGCGTGATACTTGAACGTGAATAGTTTGAATCGGTGGCCGTACGTGTTTGATGTTTGCGTCGTTGCGCGCGGCGCGTTGCTAGAGCAGGCAAACAGTCAGTGTGTGATCATCGCGACGTTTGGCGGTCCGGGTCCGACAGTCAACACGACACGCAGCGCAAATTCATTCGTCTCTCATTCACCAAATTCATCGTACGCACAATCCGAAGATGGCCGGCGCTGCGTCGAGATTCAATTCAGCGATTTCGCGGCTGCGGAATTTCCACAACCAGCGGAATCTGTACACGTACACGCCGGAGCCGGCGATGCCCATTCGGGGTAGTTGCCCGAAAATCGTTCAACCGGAGGAGGCCTTTGCCAAACTAGAATCATGTAAGTTATATTCACAACACAAAAATAATATAATCACAATTTACACATAAAAATATTAAGGTTAGTTTGTTGGGTTATGTTAACTTTTGACAGTTTGTTATTTGACGCCATTGCGTGGATTTTCTGGCGTCTTGTTAGTGTTTCCAATCGTTTTTTGGCCGATTGCCAGCGGGAATTGAGCAATCGAGCCTTGAATCCCAATTAAAAACCAAAATACAAGCGGATTTTATGATTTAATTCATTATTTTGATGTAATTGTGAACTTATTTCGTTGCGTGATTATCAAATTAAGTATAAAGTTCGTGCAATCGTCGTTTGTTTAAGTTGTTTACGGCAAACAGCGGTTAGAGTCGGTGGTGTGGCAATGGCACACATTGATTCAACTGTTTCAAGTCCAGTTTTAAGCCACACGGCGACAATGAGATTGATATAAAATACAAAGGTCGCGTTTACATCGAATATACAGCACGTCTAATAATTATTTCGCGCTGTGTGCATACATTTGTGTTTTTAATTAAGTTTTGTTGCTAATTGATGCAGATTGATGTAAAACTAGTAAATTATTATTAGTTTCAAGCATTTTCATGCATTTCTCAAACATATTTGACGTTTTTGTGTTTAATTGGTTGCCTATCTTACAGATTGATGCAGCTTGATGTAAAACAAGTAAAGTTAACTTGTTTTTAAGCGTTTTTATGCATTTCTCAAACATATTTGACGTTTTTGTGTTTAATTGGTTGCCTATCTTACAGATTGATGCAACTTGATGTAAAACAAGTAAAGTTAAATATTTTTTAAGCGTTTTCAGGCGATTTTACAACATATTTGACATGTTGATGTTTTGTTGGTTGCCTATCTTACAGATTGATGTAAAACAAGTAAAGTTAACTTCTTTTTATGCGTTTTCATGAGGTTTCTCTAACATATTTGACATTTTGTGTTTAATTGGTTGCCTATCTTACAGATTGATGCAGATTGATGTAAAACTAGTAAATTATTATCAGTTTCAAGCATTTTCATGCATTTCTCAAACATATTTGACGTTTTTGTGTTTAATTGGTTGCCTATCTTGCAGATTGATGCAGCTTGATGTAAAACAAGTAAAGTTAAATGGTTTTTAAGCGTTTTCATGCGATTTCTCTAACATATTTGACATTTTGGTGTAACATTGGTTGCCTATCATAAAACTAAGATGTATATAGATGTAAAACACACAAATTATACAAAATACTGCGCAGACGCGACACCATTTTGTACCTATTGTGTTTACACAGCAATATAGTATAATAACCTATAAAAACACACAGTTTTAGCCGTTTTTACGAATGTTATGACTGCGATAAACATGTTTAAAATTACTGCGTGTGTATAAAAGCGTTTTCAAGCGATAACTTGCTTACATAACTGCAAATAACAGTAAAAACATTTCAAACAACGCATAATCTACACACTAAACAAATAATTAATTGGTATGTGTCATTATATTGTCATTATATTGTCAAACCAGCGATAATAGATATTTATCGCGTTGAAAAATTAACTTCACATGACGCTGCAGTGTAAATACAGATAAAATTGATAAACTTAATCACGTGCAATACAATATCTCAACTTATTAAGTTCAAAGTATATCGATATGATGTTTTGGTGTGTGCGTATTTTTATCCAGAGGTATTTCTCGATATTTATAACCCGTTTCGCATGTTTGAATAAATTATTTCCAACGTTGACGTCAATGACTCATGAAAAGTCGAAAATACGCAATTACATCACTAAAACACAAATTGGCAATAATCTAATTTCATATTTTCAATATTCTAGGCCAAACTGTTTTCGTCCAGGGTGCAGCCGCCACCCCAGTGGTCCTCATCGAAGCAATGACGAAAGTCGGCAAGGAAAAAAAACTCCACGACATACAAGTGTGTCACATGCACACCGAAGGCAAAGCGGCGTACACGGCCGAAGACTGCGAAGGCATCTTTCGGTCGAATTCGTTCTTCATGGGTGGGAATGTCCGTAAAGCCGTCGCTGAAGGTCGTGCGGATTGCATACCCATTTTCCTGCATGAAATCCCCAAGCTTTTCTATCAGAAACTCATCCAGCCTGACATTGCGCTCATCCAGGTGTCGCCACCTGACACGCATGGCTACTGCTCGCTTGGCACCAGTGTAGACTGTGTGCGCGCGGCCATGATCCATTCGAAAGTCATCATCGCGCAGATAAATGCAAAAATGCCGCGGACTTTCGGCGATGCGATTATTCACCAATCACATTTTGATTATGCGGTTGAGTGTGATGTGGATTTGCCTACGCATGGTGGCAAACCACCATCGGAGATCGAAGCGCAGATTGGTAAACTCATCGCGGATAACCTCGTCGAAGATGGCGCCACTTTACAGATGGGTATTGGTAATATCCCCGACGCTGTGCTTGCGCAGTTGAAGAATCATAAGAATCTCGGTGTGCATTCGGAGATGTTCGCTAGTGGTGTGATTGATTTGGTTGAGTGTGGTGCGTTGACCAATCACTGCAAGACTTTGCATCAAGGCCGGCTGGTAGGTTCCTTCCTTATCGGCACGAAGAAATTGTATGATTTTATCGATAATAATCCCGATTTGGAGATGTTACGAGTGGATTATGTCAATAAACCAAGTAAGTATTGAGTTTAAATGGGTTATTAGATGAATTTTTGATGATTTTGTGTGTTTTGTAGGCATTATTTCGCAATTACCTAAAATGACAGCTATTAACTCAGCGATTGAGGTTGACATCACTGGTCAAGTTGTCTCCGACTCGATTGGCACTCGTATGTATTCGGGTTTCGGCGGGCAGGTTGATTTTATCCGCGGGGCGGCGGAGGGTTTCGATGGGAAAGGTAAACCAATCATTGCACTGCCATCAGCTACGAAGAAAGGCGAGAGTAAGATTTCCATTGTGCCCAAACCAGGTTAGTACTCATAAATAACCTCAAAAAAATAAATAAAACTTAAAAATGTTTAAAATTTAGGTGCTGGTGTTGTGACGAGCCGTGCGCATGTGCATTACGTTGTAACTGAACATGGTATCGCCTCGCTGTTCGGAAAGAACATCCGCCAGCGTGCGCATGCGTTGATCAACATCGCGCACCCCGACTGCCGCGAGAACCTCGAGAAGGAAGCCTTCGAGCGCCTCAAGGTCATGCCATCGGCCTAAAAGGATAAAAACACCAACCTATTAAACTCTAAATGAAACGCACTTTTATTATTACTATATATAGGTATATAAATTAATTACCATGGTCGAGTCGAGTGTAGGTGTAGCTGTTGTTGATGCGCCGTCTAGCGGCGGGTAGCCGCCATTTTTCACACACACACACACGTTCACCTGCTGCACAACAATCTGCAATCTGTTTGTACATTTCAAGTTTTTTAATAACAAATGCGAGGTTACACAATCAGTTCGGCAAATGATGGAAGAATATTAATAAACCAGATTGAAAGTTATGAAAAGTATGTTTGTTTCGCTTTCACGCCGAAACTACACATGGGATCATCATGAAATTTTGTGTACATGTTTTAAAAGGTATTATGAAGGATATAAGATACTTTTCCTGCAAAAATCGCAATATTTTAACCTAAAAACACAGAAATTACTAATTTTACCACCAGATGGCGTTGAATTTCATCCAAACTGAAATCCAACGCCCCCTGGCGGTCTAATAAGTCAATTAAACATAAAATATTAAATATATACAATATTTAATAATATCAATATCACACAGGACGCGAGGCACTTTTAACCGAAAAAAAGTATTAATATTACAACTATAACAGTAATCCGTGTGGTAACGTTCCATTTTTCTTCGCAATCTCAACATTTTTGTAGAAATCCTTAAAATTTACATACGCTTTGATTTTCTCATCCGGATCGGGAAACGGCAGCGCCGGTTCGGAACTTGAGCTACTATTTGTATTATCATAGTTGTTTGTGTTAGTATTACTCTGTTCACTGTTGAAGAGACTCGTTGAGTTGGTTAGTGTACTCTGAGGCGTTGTGGAGATTAAAGATGTCGCCACCAGCGGATTGAAACTGACAGTTGGCGTGCGGATTGCGTTCGGCATGGGGAAATTGAAGTTGCGCACGACTAACGTGATATCTTCTCGTGTTCTATCGTAGGATAATGAATTAGTCATGTGCCAATCGTGATGCAGACGAACGACTTTATCAACGACAGCTTGGGCCACGCCAGTGATGTTTGTCTGCTCTCTAAACTGAAATTTGAGTGTTTTTAAATAATTTTGGTGAGTTTTTTATATTTACCTGATCTACGACACTCTGAGCGAGATATTTATTGACTTGATCAGTGCCCATGGCTTCTTCGATTGCTTTGTATAATCCAGAAGACATTAGAAGTAAGAAACGATGACTATCGTTTAGTTTTATGCCGCCGATGATGTCTGGTTCGGCTATGATCGGCTCCTGCGCGGCTTTCATTAAATCTTCCACTTCTTTATACCCACCCTTGACTGAATGGTTGCCTAAACACCGCGTGTTCTCTTGGTTGCCTAGCCTGACATCTGCAATGAAAAAAACCAACCTGTCAATAAATATTTTTCAGATTTTATAGAAATAATTACGTTTTCTTAAGCGATCCGCCTGTAAACCAAGCTGAGACATCCGCAAAACTTCATCTTCGTTCCTCGTATCATGATCAATACTCAACTGAATCACTTTTAACACTGCATTTGGGTCGTTTTCACAGAGTAAGACTCGACAGTTGCCTACATTCGCCACAAAAAGTGTTTTATTGTATATCAATGCAATTGCAGCTGCTGTTCCTGATGATATATTCGCGTTCAGTTGATGTAAATGCTCCAATTCAGTTTGTTTGAAGTAATCATATGGATTTACACCTTCAGGTACATCATAAGCAGCTCTCTCTGCTAGTAAATCATTGAGTGAATCCATGTAACCATTCTCAACACCAATGAAAGCTTGTCTGAGCACTTCTTTGATGTCTTCATCATTCATTGACGGATTTAGTTGTCCGAGGAGTATTTCAGCCGGCATTTTCTGAAAGCAGTAGTCTACTGCTTTGGTGCCTTCATGGCCGTCAAATACACCGTAGAGAAATGAATTGTTATCATTGTGGAAGCCACAGTGGAAGCTTCTGTCTTCAAAAGCATGTTCTTCTTGCCTGTTGCCATCCTCTCTGTAGATCTGATTCATAGAGAAACCGATTCCGGACTGTTTGCATACGGGCAGGTCGTCTATCCAACATGTTGAGGAGTAATTCAGTCGAGAGTCTCTACCAGATTGCATTGTTTTGTTTTACAAGTAAAAATCACAGTAATGCATAACCTACAAGAGAAAAAATTAATTTTTAAACGAATCCACGCGTTTTAAACGAAAAAATGACTATAAATAAACTTACTTTATTATAATATTAATATCTGTATTAATATTTATCTTTAACTTTGTTTATTTTCAGTAAAATGTTATAATTTTGTTGTTGTACTTTAACTTATTATACATTGGTGTATTGTGGGTTGCCTACCATGAAAGCTTATATTCTGCGTATAAATTTAAAAATAGCTCAGTTTATTCTCAATTCCCCGAGAAAATCATCAATATTTCATGCAATGTCGACAAAACACAAGTTAATTTGTCCGTTACCCACACAAGAATCATGTGAGAGTGTAAATTGTGATAATATACTATGGGATTTAGGCAAAGCAACAAAACGCGGTACAAAAAAGTGTCCAGATTGTGGCTACATAAATGGTATACGCTGCTATGCGTGTAAAAACCCGCTGTGCAATCGTGTTCTTAAAATCGCCGACAAACACAAACCAGGCGTGCATATCGACGCGATAAAACTCGTCAGTGGTGCAACACGACAAATCTATTCAGTACGCGTGCGTGAAAAGGGTGGGCCAATAAATGGGTTGTATCCAGATCATCCCGATCAACGCGGTTTCGTCCAATTGCCATGCGCGATCTACGAAAGCGACAAACTCTCCGAAGTCGCGCTTTGTTTCGTTGATAACTGCGAGAGATCTTATTCGATTCTCAAATGTCATGAGAATGACGAAGACGACGAGGATACCAACACGAATAAAACAAATAAAACACTAAACGTGTTGAATTTCTGCGCGCATATCGAAGCAGCAGTGAAGAGTTTATCAGTTGCGCATGCGTTCGACTTCAAACACGATCTGATCAACAATCTGAAGGTTTGTGATGACATGAAGAAGAAACTGTGTTCATTGGCGAAGTCTACAGAGGGGCCACTTGTGCAGCGTATTGCTCGTAATGTTTTGGCTATAAAATGTTTTGTGAACTCTGGTAATCCGCTGGGTTATTTACATTTCATGCTTGAGTTTAAAAAGAGTGTGAGTAATGCCAGTGAAGAAGAATTGGAGCGGTTTCATTGTGAGTGTTCTGCGCAAGGGAAATGTTTACATTATTACGCATGCGTGTGTGCATTCGCTAGTGATGTTAAACTTCTACATAAATATTCACAGTTTATTCAACGTGAATTTGGTTAGTATATATTTTTATTTCATTAACATACTACAGCGCCATCTGAGGTAATGCATTACTTTTTGTGAATTACAGATTCCTGTATTGCGTACGATATAACCACGTTACTCGAAGAAGGTAAAGATGCAACATATCCGCTTGAAAACATACGAATTGAAATTCTACGGCCTGATTTATTAGGATTACCACTAAAAAGAGCAAAAATACACAAAACTAAGAAAAAAGTGAAACAAATCAAAGTGATTTCTGATAATATCATCAAAACTAGTGAAAATAACGACAAATCAACAATAAAACCAATGAAAGGTTAGAATATGAAGAATGGTTGTGCTATGTCATCGAAAGAATCAACTCCAGTAAAACCTACAAGCAACAGAAACATATTTCAACGAGAATATTCTGGATGAACTTATTGTGGACGTGCAAGAAATCAAGTTAGAGTTTCACATTCACGAGGTAGGTGAACATATTTTCAATATAACATAGGCAACCAGTTATACACCAAAATTACTTTCAGAAATTTTTCCACAACTTGCAACATCATCTTCGCGACTACTTCCAACCGAATGAATTCTGTGTCAATACATCCACACTACATTACACGATAAGTACCATTGCACAATTAGAACAATTATTCCCCGTGATGGAATTAAAAATTAATTCATATCAGTTGATAATTAACGAGCAATATCCATTTCGTATCAGCTGGTCTAGTTTATACGAAACAAGTAAATTTGGCGAGCTTGTGTTTACATTCATTAAACGAAACTGAACTGATTTCATACATGACTAATATTAAGTTAATTAACTGATTAGATAAGTCGTAAGTTATTTTTTTATTGTTAACTGTCCCACTTTGGTCAACCAGTCATAATTACCAAGTGGACTCTGTTCGCAAAAAATTAAATTATTAATGCACGTGTTTCGAGGTCACGCCGCGCTTGTTCCCCTAGTACTAGTCGTAGACAGCACTCAGTACACTTCTAAACCTTATGCGACATGTATCGCTACTCGCTCACACTCGACGACAGTGCAATCGCGTTCGCTCGCGATAATCTCAATGAAACAAAAGAAAAACAATCGGAATACATACAAAAAATACGTGATCACTTCGCGCAACATGAGCAGGCAACCCGTATAACATCCGATGATGATGTATTGGTTGCCTTCCTACGTGGATGTAAATATAACCTGGAAAAAACCATCGTGAAACTCTGCAAGTTCTACAAAATGCGTTCGGATCTTCCGAATATCTTCTCACAACGTGATCCGATGCACCCACGCATGGTTGAATTATTATCCCTGGGTGCTTTTGTCCCATTAAGAAAAACAAATGATGGTCGTATTATAATCATCATCCGTCCTGCGTGTTATTCACCCAAGGAATTTAAATTTGAAGAAGTTTTAAAGATTGGTTATGTTGTGCTGGATGTGTGTAGTAAAATATGTCCAGCGATGCAGGTGTACGGCGTATGCGCAGTGTTTGACATGAAAGGCGTGGGGCTTGCGCATGCGCGACCGATGACACCGACGATTATCAAACATATGGTGCATTCATGGGAGAATTACCACTGCAGACCCAAACAGTTGGAGTTCATCAATGCGCCGATGTATATTAGTGTTGTGTTGAATATTTTTAAGAGTTTTATGTCGGCGAAGTTGAAGGAGCGTGTTCGGGTGCATTTCGGTGGGAATAGTGCGTTGCATGAGTTTGTGGATAAGGCGGCGCTGCCGGAGGAGTATGGAGGGGAGGATGGGAAGTTTAGTCAGCATGTGGATTTTTGGAGGAGGCAGGTGCAGGAGTATGGGCAGTGGTTGAAGTTTGATGAACAGTTTAGGGTTTATAAGGATATTAATGAGGAGACTTAATTTTATTTAATATTTTTTTGTTTATATTTAAGGTTATTATAAGGAAATGTATACGATTAGTTTTATTATGTGTTATTTTTTTATTATTATGATATTAATACTCGATTTATTGGTACACCCTGTATAATTGCGAATTTTGTATTGTTTAGTTTGTGTGTTTAACGTGATAAAATGCATGGTCCCTTCAGCGTCGTTCTACAGAGGTTGGTATACGCTGCGTGTGACCAATCACGCGTCGCGTCTTCCCCCACTACTCTTACGCGCCGGCTGGGGTATAAAAGGGGGCGCGTAACACGCGCTGCGCTCAGTCGTGCCTGAGTCGTCCAGTAGTCCAGTCGCAGCTCTCTAAACCTTAATTTTCCGCTTCTTTTTTGAGTTTTTAAACATTTTAAATAATAATTGTTATGATATTCGCCTAAAAAATGATAATATCATAATCAAGTAATCTAATTTCATATAATTCTGTCAATTGTATTGTTTTGTTTATAATTTATCACTCATACAATTTCAAAACACCCAAAACGCTTACAATTGATTTACACTAACTTTATTTTCATAAAAGTAAAAAATATTTGGGAAACTAATTAAAAACACAATTAAACATGATGGACGACACGGAAAGCATAAAAATAGACTCCATGGACGAGATCTTCACTGATTCCGACAACCAGGAAAATACTTTCGCGCAAATAGAAGCTGATTACAACAAGGTACCATCCATTCACATCCTAATTAAAAAATTAAACAATTTTATATTAAAAATAGCTAATGTTGACCTTGTGTGATGACCCCGCCCTGTCAAAATACGCAGACGCATACACCGCCTTGTTTGACTACGCCTACGGCGTCCACGTCAAGTCCCTCAACCTGCAAAACACCAAACAACAACTCGAAGAGGAATACAACAGTACAGAACAACGCCTCGTGGAAACCTCACAAGTTCTCATCAAAGACTCGCATTTAATAAGCTCATTAAAAAATCAAGTGCAGATCTCCCACAAGTTACTAGACACTGCGCATGAGCAGGAACAAGCCGCCATGGAAGTGATAGACAACCTACGACACACCATCACAAGCCTACAAGGAGAAATCGAGTTTAAAAACAAGATGACTGTGGTTGAAGACGACGAAAACCCAACTGTGGCTAAACATCGACAAGGATTAGAACGCGAACGTGAAAAACTCTTGAAAGAAGTGGCGAGAATGAACGAAAAGTTCGAAACAGCTTTGGAGTATCAAGAAGAGTTGGAACAACGCACTGATCAGACAGATGCACAAATACACGACGTAATTGAACAGCTAGAGGACGCCACTAACGAATTACAGAAAAACAAACGCGTCAAAGAACGTTTGGAGTTAGAACTTGAAGATTTATCGGAAGATGTACAAGGATTAACGAAATACATCCGAGAAAAAACCACAACAGTATCAGCTGATCAACATGTAGTTGTAAAACTAGAAAATGACTTAAAAGAACAAATATTATCATCGTCAAAGTGTATAAACGAGTTGGCAATATGGAACCAGCGGTATTGCAAGATGGCCGACGATCTAAACCAGGTTCTGTACTCGGCTAACACAGAAAAACGCGAACATCTAAACCTCAATCGTCGGCTTGGACTACAAACACACGAACAAGACATGATTAAGAAAGATATCGAGTTGCGCACGATGCAAAAACACGCCGCGCTCGCCACCAATGAACGCATGCTGCTTGAAACTGAGAAGGCAATAAAAGACCGTAATCAGACACGTGAAGCCATCGCGCAGCAAGAAGCAATCGTGATGAATCAGAAGATGTTGAATGACACATCCAAGAGGGAAATTGTCAATCGCATACGTGAGAAGGACATGATCAGTCGCAATCTTACACGGCAACATGGTAAGGTTATATCTTCTTCTATATATCTATCTATATATAAAAATGAAACCCGTTTCGCGTTGTCAAGCCATAACATGAAAATGGCTAGACCGATTTGGCTGATTTTTTTTGGCAGTTTTCTAATACTCTGTAGAAGGTTCTTACGGAAAAAAATGTTAGGAAAATGTTAGGAATAAATAAGAATAAGTTGAATTTCTGGTAATATTTGAGGTTATTTTATGGTAAAACATGAAAAATTATGTTTTTTAAAGAAAAAATTGATTTTTTGTGCTGTAGAAGATAATATTTAGTGATTTTGCATAATAAAAATATAAATAAATACAATTTCTTTGAATTTTTGAGGTTATTTTATGGAAAAACATTAAAAACAATGTTTTAAGTAAAATTTAAGATAATTCAAATGTTATTTCACGATTTTACATGAAAATAACATATATAAACACAATTTCTGTTGATATTTGAGGTTATTTTATAGAAAAACATGAAAAAATTATGTTTTTAAAGAAAAATTGATTTTTTGTGCTGTAGAAGATAATATTTAGTGATTTTGCATAATAAAAATATAAATAAATACAATTTCTTTGAATTTTTGAGGTTATTTTATGGAAAAACATAAAAAACAATGTTTTAAGTAAAATTTAAGAGAATTCAAATGTTATTTTACGATTTTACATGAAAATAACATATATGAACACAATTTCTGTTGATATTTGAGGTTATTTTATAGTAAAACATGAAAATATTGTGTTTTCTAGGTAAAATTTGATTTTTTGTGTTGTAGACGATAATATTTAGTGATTTTGCATTAAAATAATATAAATATTATTTTATTGTGTAATAAAGTTTAAATAAATAAAAAATCAATCAGGCGGTACAAAGTTCGCCAGGTCAGCTAGTACTTTTTAAAAACCTCAAAACTAACCTCAAAATATTTTGTTTTTAGCTATAACAAACACAACTATACAACATATCGCTCTGCAACAAGGCGAAAGAAAGAAAACAGAGTATAAAATAGATGCACAAGTTGAACAACAAAAACAACAGAAAAGACACATGGCTTTCCTTGAACGTGAAAGAGACAGGTTGAAAGAAGACGCAGTTGAGAAAGCCAATCAAATCGAAGATTTAATGGATGAGTTAAAAGCGCAGAAGTTGCATATGTTTGACAGTAAGAAAAGACTGTTGGAGAGTCAGAATAAACTACAAATGCAACACAATGCATTCGATGCTTGTCGTAGTGACAAACGTTTTCTAGAAAAACACTGAGACAAAACATGTCACAAGCACAAGCGTTAAAAAACAAAGTATATGACTACACGCGTAATAATGAATTGATAAAAAATGAAGTGTTTTATAAAGAGCAAGAAACCCAGGCATGCGCAAACTATAATAAATTATTAGTAGTTGAAGTTGAGAATATGCGACAGGAATTAGTTGATAACACTAAAGAAATACATGAATTAAAAGAGGCTATTGCTTATCACAAGATGTTTACTAAAGATTTATTGTTGCAAATTGAACAGGCTGACTTCAAACTGCGTGAAGATGATAAAACCATCGCGACTTTTATAAATGAACGAGATGTGTTGAGTGCACAGCTGGTAAGAAGAAATGAAGAACTTGCTTTGTTGTATCGTAAAATGCACTTGTTAAAAACTATGTTGGAGTATGGTGAAGCGCAGTATTCACGTCGTCTAGATGATCTTACATTGCTCAAGCGTGAGATCATGCACATCAGGCAGAATAAATCGGTGTATGAGAAGAAGATAAGTAACATGAATGATTTTAAGGCTGAGGTGTTGGCCTTGGAGAAGGATTTGACAAGGGAGAGGGTTAAGTCGATGAGGTTAAGGGCGGAAATGCATAGTCCGATGAATATTCATCGGTGGAGTAAGCTGGAGGGGTCGGATCCGGATATGTTTAATTTGATGAGGAAGATTTTGCTTATGCAGAAGCGTGTGCTGAGGCATTCGGATGAGATTAATGCCAGGGGGTTGCAGTTGAAGGAGATGAAGAAGTTGTATAAGACTATGCGTAAGATGGCGGCCAAGCAGCCGGGGCCGAATATTCATCAGCGTATGCGGTCGATTAGTGACAATTTGAAGGAGAGCAAGATGCAATCGAGGGTTTGTTGGTTTTTTTTAGGTTATGAGTTGTGTATAATGGTGTATTTGGTATCAAGTGCGCTAAGTGGTACTTTAATCACGTTTAGGTACTGGATACTTATGCTATTTTTTTTATTTCCACGGAGTTTTTATGTTTAGTTTTTGTTTTGTAATTTTTTATTTTAAAATCTTCGAAAATCGCTCGTAGACTACTGGGAAATGTAAGGTTATGAATGGTGTGACTCTACCCAATGACTAAAGCCCATGACTAAAGTATTTTAGTCATGATTTTGGCCGTCCGTGTTTAAATTACCATTTTTTGTTCCTCAAACAGTCGAGAAATTGGTGATTTAAAGATAAAAGTACAAAAAATTTGTTGTTTTTGATGTTTCCAGTATTTGACAAATGAACGTAAAGAAACAGAGGATGAATTTAACCGGTGTAGTCTGCAATTGAAAACGGTGAGTCTGGAATTACGCAAAGAGCGCCAGAAGTTGTTGAACGAGAAGAAAATGCGGCGGCGAAACATGCAGAACTTGCGGCGCGTGGAAGCGTATGGACAAGAGGTTATGAACAGTATGGCGAAGTTGCTCAGCGATAAAACTATCTTGACTATTGCTATGAAAACTTCCGATACTAGTATGTCCTAAACTTTAACGGTTAAAATTAAAATAAAACGGGTTTTTCACTTTTGCACCAAAGAAAACATAATTATTTTAAGGTTATGTATGCTTCCGAGCGTTTTTTACATGAAAAAAATATCATTTTTAAATGATAAGTTGTGAAATTCATCTGCGCATGCGCAATAATAGTGATAATTTATAGGGGAGCAGGAAAAAATCAAGAATTTGTAATTTTTAGGTTTAAAAATGTGTAAAATGCGTTCGGGAAGTCTGTAAATACGAAAAAAGTGATAAATATTGATGAATTAGAAGAATTTGAGGTTAAAATGTCGATAAAACAGGGTTTTTCACTCTGGCACACATGAAAACATGATTTTAAGGTTATGTTTGCTTCCGGGCGTTTTTACTCTTGAAAAATATTATTTTAAAATAATCCCTACTAATATTATAAAAGCGAACGTCCTGATGTTTGTTGCACTTTCACGCAAAAACTACTTAACCGATCATCATGAAAATTTGTACACATATTCTTAGTGGTCCCCGAATGGTTATAGGCTACTTTTTATTTAATAAAAAAAATTATTTTTGAAATAAAATAAAGAAATTGTTTAGCCAATAATACCTCTGCATCTGGCTATTTGACTACTTTAACGCCATCTAGCATTCCAGCAATGAAGCTCAAACCTAAGTACTATAGTACCATCACACTGTATTATCACACTGTATTACCGACAGCTACGTCAACATCAAATCCAATTGACTACACCATGGAGACTGTACACTATACTTCCATAGACTATACTTTCAGCCATTTTAAACTTCCCGCCATTCTACTTCATTGTTACTTCTTCTGTGACTACAGACGCGTACGGAAGCAACTTCATTATTTTAGATATTCACGAGCGAAGCCGCGGGTTAAAGCTAGTAATTATATAATTCATCAGCGCATGCGCAATATTAGTGATAATTTATAGTAGAGCAGAAAAAAATGATGAATTTGTGATTTTTAGGTTAAAAATGCGTTCGGGAAGTCTGTAAATACGAAAAAGTAATAGAAATTGCTGAATGAGAAGAATTTTAGGTTAAAATGTCGATAAAACAGGGTTTTTCACTTTGCCATTATGTTTGCTTCCGAGCGTTTTACTCTTGAAAAATATTATTTTTAAATCAGCGCATGCGCAATAATAGTGATAATTTATAGTAGAGCAGAAAAAAATCAAGAATTTGTGATTTTAGGTTAAAAATGTATAAAATGCATTCGGGGACTTTGAAAATATAAAAGATGTGATAGAAATTGCTGAATGAGAAGAATTTTAGGTTAAAATGTCGATAAAACAGGGATTTTCACTCTGCCACACATAAAAACATAATTTTAAGGTTATGTTTGCTTCCGCTCATGCCCAACACTCAAATAATATCAATTAATTATATTTCTTTAAATGATAAGTTAAGAGAAAGTATACAATCGATAAAAATAGCCACTCATAGTGTACACCTATCATCTAAATAAGTGATTTCCGTTTTCGAACGTGCAGTACCCACCAACCAATGAAAATAAACCTGTACAATCATCTAAAAAACGCTAAACGTAATAATATAAATAACAAAATTAGTAATTTCATCTCATATTCAACAACATAGTGTAATAGGTATCTCATCTGTTTGTTTCTTTCATCATATATATAATTTAAAGATATTCATACTTTTTGTCTTCGCTTCTCTTTGTATATATGTATTAATGCTTTAAGTTTGTTTTATTGAATCGTTTCTGTATATACCCAGTATGCCCAGCACCTAGTATAACCTCCAAATATGTATGAGCATCGTCGACTTATTTATACACTGCTAAGGGTCCCACAAATCACACGCATGCGCCACAATCTCTACACAACCGCAAAACATGTCAATTCAATTATTTAAAACCACATAAAAATCGTTGAATTTGCTACCGCTGCCCGAGAAATTCACTAAAATCAATTTTACTATCTAGACTAGGACGAGTATGATAAATGCTGCTGCTGGGACACTTCCGGTTGCGTAGAAATCGTGACTTTATCTTTGGGGGAGGGTAGTGGAGGGTTTAGCTGACCCGATATCATTTGAACGCGGCGAAGAACGGCTGATTTGCGTTCTGACCGTTGTTCATACTCATATTCATGTTCAGATTGTTGAAGTTGTTCATGGGTGGCGCGCCGCCATAACCGGATATGCGCGGTTGATTCACCGGCGAGGTGGGGTTGCTCGCCAGTTGGTTCATGCTCGGCGCAGCCGCGTTCTTGTTTGAGTTGGTGAGCAGGTTGTCCAAGTCAATGTTAATACCGGAGTTGCTCCACGTGGCGCCCACATCGGCGAGCTGGGTTTTCGTCGGCTTCGTGTTGGACGCGTCGACGTTGGAATTGTTTGCGTTATTGGAAGACATTGGTTGTAATACTTGCGCTGATTGCGGACTTAACATTGGACCTGCAAGAAGAAACACAATTAAATATAACCTAGAAATATCCAGTGAGTGAATAGAAAATAAGTTTAGGTTTAGCTTTACTAATGTAAACTCAATCATAGAAGTGATAGGCAACCAGTGATACACCATCACAACCCTACAGAGTGAAATCATCCTTAGAAGAATAAAAGTAAGTTAGTTTCAGTATTAACCGCATAATACTACAAGGTTATGCAACTTTTTATTCAGTAGAAACTTTCAACACATTCTCGATTATAGACAACACATGCGCAGTTAAAAGACGACACTCCGAGTCCGATTCTCCCCGATTCACATTCGGATTCATCATGGATCCCAACCACAAGCGATATTCCATCAATTCGCCAACGAAATCGTCCAAAAGTATAGCTTGTGGTATAACCAAGATGGCCGCAGCGATCATCTCCAACGTAGCAATGCGCACCTTCGCCTCCTTGTGGAACTTCAACCCCCAGGCAAGTTTAAACACTTCTTTCGCCATTTTAACCGCGATCGGGCAATTCATCGCCGAGTACATAACAATCGCCAGCGTTTTCACATAATTAACCAGTAAAATGTAATCGTCATCGTTCTTCGGGCCACTCATAACGTAATTCGAGCCAAAACCATGCATCAACGGGAAGAAAAAGTGTCCAGCAGCCTGTGCAAAGCGATTAATCACCGTTTTCTTATCTTTAGACCTTTGTTTCGCATAATAGGACTCATAGTATCTAGTTTTTAACCTGCTGGTTATAACCTCACTATTTTCATCGCTTTTCTTGGTATTTTTAGTAATACTTGCTAATTCTTTAGCTGAAGCTTGCAAAATCTGCAACATAAGCACCCGGTGTGAAATACTGTAGATTCCTGTATCTGCATGAAACTGTTTGCAAAGAAAATCAGCATAAATCGCTGGATAAACACAGGTTATGGTAACACAAGCGTTGAAAACCAAATCCTCATAATTTTCAACGTAAAAATTCGGTCGTAGAGAGATTAATATCTTTAATATCTCAATCCCGATACTCGCATCATCATTGTGCAGTTGTTTACTGATAAGATCATGCGCAGCGGTTAAACTTTGCGTAAACACTTCACAATTCTCTGTTTCTAGTAACCCATCACGCAAATCACGCAGATATGCAGGCGGTGGTACTTTTTCCATTTTCACATCTTCAGATGTATCATACTCTTCCAAATCATCATCAGAATCCAACTGGAAGTCTTCGTCAATAATCTTGACATGCATATTCTTTGATTTTGATAAACTAGGAGCTATAAACTCATTCGTAGTCTTTGTTTCTTTAAATTTCTTCAATTTTGTAGGTGGTTTGTAGTTATACTCAGGTTTTTCAGGGTTTGTAACCAAACTATCAATCAAATCTTTATAGTTATAATCTTTTGGTGATTGTAGTTTGATTGTACAATCCGTCGCCATCTTGAACAACTCCGCAGACATCTTTTGACTCTCCTGTGAGAGTTTATCATATTCAAAGTGTAATTTTATATCATTATCTTTGTTTTCGTCTTTACTACGTAGTAAATTCAACAAAATCTCCGCAGTTGTCATTCCGATACATCTCAATCCTTCATTGGTTGATTGTAAATGTAGAGGTATACCAGAATAAACACTCTGGTTTATTTTATTTCGAAATTCTTTAGAACATTTCGGTATTATTCTGGCTGTAGATGCGATTAAAAACTTTGTGATGTACAAATGTTGCTCGAAACTTGTATTAATCAGTGATGATTTACTGCACCAGCATTCAATCAAGTCAACAATCAACCCCTCAATCACTTTCGATGATTTTTCAATGAATTGTACCAAATTAATGATGAAATCATTCGTGAATTCTTCTTTAAACATCATCAATGGTAATTTATTCGCCAAAATAAATATCCAGTTGTCTTTTTTAAGTAAATCTTCTGATAAATAATCAATATCAACGTGTTTAAACAAATTCACAGCAAGTATTTCAATTGGTTTTGATTGTAACCGCATGAGAATATTGTTGTGTAAGTTTTTATACTTTGGCGACGTTTCTGAGGTGATGTTTATAAGTTTGCAGTATGTTTCCACATTGGCAGCGCCGTATAACACTAAATATTTATTCATAAACAACGCCATGTGTTCGTAGTGGTAAATATCGTCATTGTTTTTGTTTGCGGTGAAGAATTCCAAGCATTTCATCATCTGCGCCAGTAAAAATCTACTATAATGTTCGATTGTGAAAAAAGTGAGGTTATCGCCGCCATTTTGTGCCAAAACATTCGCCACGCGACTTGGTAGCGACATCATCAACTGTAGAAACTTCTCGTAGTGATCTTCAACGTCAATTCCGTCAGATTTAAAGAAATAAATCATCGCATCGAATAACGCTTCACTTTTTAAGAGTTTTTCGAGTAATTCCGTCAAAATTTCGGATTTTTCTGGTCATTTGTCAAAATGTAACAAGAACTTCAAGAGATTCAAGAAAATAATACCGGTTTTCGATTGTAAACAGTGAAATAATCACTGGATGTATAACAGTTGAGTTTTCCTCAACATAAGGAAATCTATGATCGAAAACTTCGATTAGAAACTGTAGAATGTAGCGGTAGTTGTTTAACTGTACGAAATTAAGTTGTGGAGTTGAGATGTCATCAATATTCAGTAATCTTTGAACGGTTAGAGGTCCTGGTAATTCTTGGTTTAAGTCTTCAACTGCACTCAACACTCGATGGACGTCTTCGATTGACTTAAGCTTTTTCTCGGCCTTGAACGCATTGAAGAGATATTCACCCACGGCATCTAAACGTGTTTGCACTACTTTTGTGCCTGAAACCGAAAAACTCAAATGAGTTTCCCGGTTATCGTTATCTCGCGCTGTTTTACCCCCACCTTCATTGAAATAAATGCAGGTGGGTGAAAAATAACTTAAACTACTTTAAAAAATTAAATTTCCTTCACCAAAATGGAAAAAATTGTATTTACCTGTTGATAATCCATCGAACAAATCAAGATTTCCATTCGTTTGTGCGGGCTGCGTGTTGATGTTGAGCGAATTGAACGAAAGATCGCCGAGGAGATCACTGCCACCGCTAGAGGGCGGTAGTGATGCAGGTTGCATATGTTGCATGTGTGGAATGGCGGTTGGTATACTCGGAGCGCCGAACAAATCACCGCCCACATTTAGATTTAAATTATTGCTTGTGATTGGCGCTGGCGCTGCGGTGAAAGCAGAACTAAAATCGGCGAAGTCATCGTTTGAACCATCATCGCTAGGTGGCGCTAGTACAGGTTCACCACTTGTAGCAGTAGAAATAGTAGAAGAACCAAATGCAGCCTCAAAATTACCAAACTCAACTTGAGTCTTTTCCTGAGTGTTTTGTGTTTCATCCGCGCGCGGATTGAAATCGTCATTTAGCAGATCACCACTGACGACTGGCGGTTTCATTTGGCACGTGTCTCTTCCATCCTTTCCGTAGTTAGCCGCAGCGCCCAAATCAACCTGTTTGATTGGTTTCGTTGGTTTGCTCGGCGACTTCTGCGCTGATTGGTTGAGCGTTAGATTGACGCGATTACTGCTGCGCTCCAGGCTGTTATTCGTCGGACTGCCAACCCGGTCGGTATCTTTATAACGCCTCGATGATTCGTTATCTGAATCATTCGCTTCGCCTTCGTAATCTTCATCGTATGATTTATCGCGGTAACGATTGTTGCTGTCGCCGTCACGGTCGCGTCCACTGTCCGAACGCTCGGAATAGCCGTAATCACGATCCCATCGATCCATACCCCCACCACCTTTATTTGAAAAAAAATATTTTAATGTGATTTAATGATTTTATGATGTTTTTCTTACCAAATCGACCTCCCATCATCTCCGAACTCATCCCGATGTATTTATCCTTGTTCTTCTTCGCCTTTTTGCGCTCCTCGCGCAGTTTATCATCGTCCTGAATGAAGTCGATCAATTCCTTGACTTTGTGTCGAATGTTGACGCCTTGATCCTTGCCGAGTTCATCAACGAATGTGTAATTTTCCAGCGAGCGCAGGTCGTAGATGTGTTCCCGTGATGAAGTCACAACGCGTTCAGATCCGTTGCGGATCAAGTAGTTGAGTACGAGGAGGGATTTGTATGTGCGGCGCCAGTGCTGTTTGCTGTCTTGGAGCATGCGCTTCCAGAGCATCGACATAACCTCCGGGAAATGCTCGTAGGTGAAGGTGGAATGTGCGAGTTCCTGCATTTGATGGCCGGTTGGACCCCAGGGTTCATCATTGGTCGCTTCGCGGACTTTTGCTTCGATCTCCGTGTAGTTCATGACTACATTCGTGCTGTAAACAAAATGGTGAGTGTAAATTTTATGTTTTTATAAATTTCCTAACCTAACATAACCTTAAAATCTCGTTATAAACAAAATTTGTTTATTTATTGGTTCTATAGTTTATTCTAAACGTGTTTTTTGTGTTTGCAAACGGCAATGACACAGTTTTACGAAATATTCCACTTGTAGTGAATGTTTATGCAACCAAACACACATATTTAATTGCTTAAGTCTACAAAACCAATATTCTAACGCACAGATAGCTAAATCTATTAGAATTAATTAGTCTCAAGCATGAAATAATGCCCTAACTTTACTGAAGCTAATAAATTGGAAGGTAAAGTGACGAGAGATAAACATCTGTCACCGGAAATCTGAAGATGCACACAGGTGACTCGTGTACTTACACTTTGTCCGCAAGCTCGCGCACCTTCCACATGCTAAATAAATTGTCCATGGCGGCGGGTTCACTGCGCGTTCGGTAGAAGAGCAAATAATAGGAAAAGACGCGCGCGACGCGAAACGGCAAGCAAAACACAACCAGGCTAATGCGCGATGATTTGGCTGTGCGCCATATTACAGACGTGACGTTTCGCTGCAATCGCTGCAATCTGTGTTGCGGTGTCAATTCTGTCAACTGTCAGTTTTCCTCCTACTCCTGCCCTTCTTTATCAAGCTTTTGGAGCTTTCACCTCCCACTTTTGTCAGTGTTGCCAACAGTAACTAAAATATCACTAGATATTTACAGAGTGTCATCATAAATATTATGTTTATTTAATGTTTTTAATGGGTTTTTAGCAACAAAATAATTTTTTTAACACTTTTAATTAAGTTTTTAAACAAAATTAGCCATTTTTATTTAATTTTAATAAGTTTTTCGCGTGTATTTTATTCATTGTGGGCTTTTATTATATACTTGGTGTATAAAAGCTGACGTGAGAACACATGTCACTGACTAGGAATGTTTTCGTCATTTACGAATAAGTATAAGTAAACTCAAGTGTGATAAACGCGTAATTTGTGAATGAAAGTGCAAGAAAGTGGTAAATATGTCTCTGAACAAAGTGGTTCTACTCGCGTGTGGTTCCTTCAATCCACCTACAAACATGCATCTACGAATGTTTGGTAAGTCATATTTCTTTTGTTTTTTACATAAAAAAATCAACATTCAATTGTTTTCTTAATTTTTTTCTAGAACTAGCAAAAGATCATCTCCACCGACTCGGTAATCACCTTGTCGTTGGCGGATTTATTTCCCCGTACACGATTCCTACGGTAAAACAGATCTAGTCTCAGCAAAACATAGAATAGCAATGTTAAAATTAGCTCTCGATGATAATTCATGGATAAAAGTCTCAGACTGGGAGAGTAGGCAGGAAACCTGGACAAGGACAAGACAATCTTTAAATTATCATCAGAATGCCATCAATTCCAAGCTGAATGTGAATGGTTTCGATGCAAATAGCAATGAGAGTGATCATCTGTATCATTCAATAGTTCCTGATTATTATCAAAATATTTTGGACACAAATAGTCCTGTGCAGGTGAAATTATTATGTGGGGCTGATTTATTGGAGAGTTTTGGGACGCCTGGTCTCTGGGCAAATGAAGATGCAAGTATTTTGCGTTTTATTTTGAGGTTATGTTAATTTTTAATGTTTTAGATTGAAGCAATTGTTGGACAATATGGTTTGGTGGTGATAACAAGAGAAAACTCAAATCCACTTAAATTTATCTACAATTCTGATATACTAACTAAATATATGGTAAGTTATACAGAGTGTTTAAATAATTTTTTAATAAGTGATTAATTTCAAGGGTAATATTATAATAGTCACTGAATGGATAACAAATGAAGTGTCATCGACAAAAATACGCCGAGCACTGCGCCGATCCGAGAGTGTCAAGTACTTAATTCCTGATAAAGTAATCAATTACATTCAGGATAACACATTGTTTGGAACAAGCAATAAAACGTAAGTCTTTATTACACTATAGGCAACCAAATATACATCTTGTGTTTTTGGTTGCCTATATATAAAAATCATAACTAAAAATGATTAAATGTTATGTGCTCTCGTGGAAAAACAGTAAGTATCTAATGCCGCCTTCATTAGACACTTACAATCATAACTTCCTCACGCCGTCGCCGACTGGCACGAGCGACATGTCGATCGATACGCCCTCGCCGATGAGCTGCATGAATTTATGCAACAACAACTTGTTTACCGCTGTACCAGCGACGGGTTTATCGATCGACGTGCCCGACGTAGGTAAATCCATATTATCTACGCCGAAACCCACCGTTGTGGTGTCTGCAACCGCGGCGAAATCTTGCGGCGGCAGCGTGAAGCACCCCGGACAGGCGGTGAAGATCGTTACGAAAGTTGTCAAAGAGGTACGTACGCCTGCTACGACGCCTAGCACCGCACTTAAGAATTCAAAGAGTTGCACAGAGCTGGCACAGCTTGCAGGAGGTGGCAAATCAGGCGGTGATAAAAACACAAGCAGGTCGAATGATGACCTCCTCGATCGCAAATCGTGCGATGAGAATTTGATTCGGTTTATTTTTACAAAGCATGGTATTCAGGTTATTAGTGATGTGGAGACGATTGTTTAGTCTTTTGTGTTTGATCTTGTTTTTAGTTTCGTGGCAGGAAATCTTTTGTCAAGGAGCGCACAGTAGAAAAGAGAACCAAACGTAAATCTTCCAGGTATTTTGATTTATTTTTTCATAATATGCAAGTATTTTGATTTATTTTGACGCGTTTTTTCGAATTTCTACAATTTCTGCATGTGTAAAATCAAAACTTGACTTGAAACTCGGACAATAATGTTCACACACACAAATATTTCAAGCACATAATAAAATTAAAAGTAGCTGCACGTTTGCATCCGATATTGGTGTTGATCTAATAAGTGTTGCATGATAAATGTTTCTGTTTCAGGCATTATTAGAGCGTCCTGCATGCCTACTCTAGATGAAAACGTATGCAACCCATCATACTAGATGTAAAAGTGTAAATAAACGGTGTTTAGCTTTAAATTCAAAGATGTCTAGATGAGGTTTTAAAACAAAAAAACAAAATGGAGGAACACATCTGTGATTTTGTAAACATGTGAATGTCTTCTTGTTAGACTTATTGTAAAAGGTTGTGAAAAAGATGAATTGACGCTGTTAATCTATCATGTCTTGTTTTTATTGCCCGCTTTGGCGCTGCAGTCGCACCACGGAGTGACAGCTCGATCACAGATCAATTCAACGTTGATAATCGTCACCGGTTCACCATCGATGGTTAAACTAGAAACACCTATCAGGCGATAGTTGACATCGTGTAAACCGGTTTGCCTATCGCGCCTGCGCGTCACATCACGTTGATTGAAACATTTTGCTGTGTCACGTTTACGATGCGCAGGGTGAATATGTTTAAAAGTATCATTGATACCAGTGGCGATGTTTGTGGGACGCGTAACGCCGAGTTTCGCATCGCGCAGACGCACGAAGAATTCATCATCCTCCAATCCCCAGCCCCAATACTTATTTGACATTCCATTCACTAACTTAAAATGATCCCTGAGAACATAACCTCAATTATTAACCAGTTTTACTTTATTTTTAGATATTTTACCTGTTAATTAATAAAATACCGCCGACAAAGTTCGCGTAGTGATAGCGTGGATGAAGATGCGGCGCAGCGACGTGAAACGGCTGCTCATGTGGGTAACCATAGCTTAAATTCTTATTTAACGGCAGCAGATCAACATCATGCATTGCAACATAATCATAATCTGTTTTTGTGTATAAATATCCTATGTTTATTAATGACGCGCGATTGAATCGATAGGAATCCACCTGGTTGATCACGAAGATATGATGGTTGATATGCTGATCATGGAGGAACTTTCTCATGTATGGCACGAAGACTAGCAGTTCATCAAAGCGCTCTCTGAATGGCACCAGGACAGCCAGATTATGTGCGCTGTCAAAGGTTTTGGTTGATGCTGTGAGTACTTGTTTCTCTATTATATATTCTGTCCTATTGCTGGGACAATTGCAGTGGTCTACAACAATTTCATAATATTTAGAAACAGTTGAATGTTTTTTTCTATGGGAAAACAAATGACTCACCACCTGGAAGTAGGAATAATAGAATTAAAACGATGATTATAAACGTGGAAATTGTGATAGCGATCAAACAGTGGAGCGGGTTCACTGGCCGTGTTTTCTTGGACATTTTGCGGCATTTTCCTATGTGTTATCAGTCATCTTCTTAAATTTTAAAAATATTTACATGCAAATATGTATATAACCTAACAATTTGCTTGAGATGTCAAAAGCTCGTGCAACATCAGTGTTGCCAACCTAAGAAAGTCTAAGAATAGTTATAGTTTGTAGTAAGTGAAAGTAATGACGGTATAAATATTATTGTGCAATGTTATTTAGTTGCCAAGTGATGAATGTTGTCATTGTGCATTTTCGGAAGTCAGCGTCAACGTTGCACAATAATTTGTAAAGCTGTTAGTTGTGTGCCTCCGCAGCGCCCCCTCCAAATCTGGTTAAAAACGCGCGCGCTAGTGACGTCCGTTTCAGAAAGCTCGTTGGCAGCAACGAGCGATCTTGTGGTGTTTTTCCCGCTGTGTCCGCGCCGTTTTTGCTCGCCTGTCTGCCCCCGCAGCTCGTGCATCGCGAATCGAAAAATGTTTATGCGCTCCGCCAGCACCATTCACGCATCGTACCGTAAATGTCAAGTGGCGAACGCGCTCCTCAGTCGCAGCATACGTGGTAAAAGAGGCTCGCAGTGGTGCAACAATCGCGCGCCGCCGTCGTCTTGATCGTGCGTGCACACTAGAATTATTAGCGAATTTCGATCGCGCGCGCCCGCACGATCGACACACGTGATACGTAGTTTCTAGGCATATTTCGAGGACGACGTCCCGGTTCAGGTTCAGACAGCGTCGAGCAGCCGCCAGCATCATGCCGAAGTGGAAGCGAAAGGGAAAGTATGGTGAGTGGTGTGGCAATCTTATCGTATTACCGCATAAGGTCGTGTCTCGCGCGCGCGCCGCACCATGTTGCACAACCGCACAACCTTAAATTCCATTCGAACATATGGACCACGGAATGGAACAAAAAACACGGTCGGTTTCTAACTGGTGGAAACCACCTCGTGCGACCTTGGCTCTAAATTTAAATTTTGTTTACGGCTAGGTTTTACTTTTGATTGTTGTGTGTGTATAATTATTTTTGTTTTTGATAATTTTCGTGTACAGGAAATGGAAAACAGGTGTTGCGCATGCGCAACTTGTGCAATAACGCGTCATGTTCATGATTTTCGTGAATTTTTTTGAACTTGAGGTGGAAATTCGGCTTTATCTTGGGAACCGTTTGTGCGATTTTGATAATTTTTTAATATTTGGATAGTTTGAGAGATATTTTATTGGATGTGCCATTGCAACCTCCCAAAATCACGTTAGAAGTGCCTTAAATTCGCTCTCAAAGTTTTACGAATTTTGTGATTATTCGAAACACGCAGTGGAAATTTTGGCATAAAAAAATTAAAAACATATGCTGCGCATGCGCAACTTGTGCAATACCGCGTCATATGCACTTGCAATACATTGTTATGACAACATTTACATAAATAATAACAATTTTCATCTTTTATTTAGACCGTAATGGTTCCGGTCAAACATCGGAAGAGGACGACTGCAATGATAACGCAAGCGTATTCAGTATGGGTTCCGAAGTACGCAGCAATGATGGAGATAATGAAGAAGAAGAGCAGTCACAGCAGGAAGCGTACGAAGAACGCATCGCTGAAGCGCTCGACGGTCTCTCGCAAAAATCAGCGCAAGGCCGCACCAATTGCTACGAAGGATTGTGCAAGGCGTTCCAGAAAAAATACATCCCTGACTTTGTCGAGGAACGCAAAATGACTGTATGTGACGGCGTTGAGAGAGGTTTGAAAAGGGTCGTGGCGCTGAGCAGGCTGCGGCTGCGCAGTTAGCATCTTTGCTATGCGTACAACTTGGCGCTGGTGATAGCAGCGAGGAGGTGTGCAAAAGTCTCAAGCCAATTTTACTTGTAATTGCGAACGACAACTCTATGCAACCCACAGTACGCGCCAAGGTAATATTTTTATTTTTCTATAAAAAAATGTATTTATTTTTGTAATTTAGTGTTGCAGTGCTCTGGGATTGATAACTTTCCTCTCCGGCGGTGAAATGGGCGATGTTTTGGACATCATGAAACAAATGGAGCATATTTTCTCCGGTAGTTATCTTCGAGGCGGTGGAACTGTACCGAATGTCTCGGTAGACATTGGAATGCTTCACGCTGCAGCCCTAAACGCATGGGGGCTGCTTTTCACGCTCATGTCTCCCGGTGATGTTTATTCAATGCTTGGTAGTGGCGTGGGTTCATTCTCGCCGTCGATTGAACAGTTGTCGGACATGTTGACGTCGCCGCATTTGGATGTGCGCATGGCCGCAGGTGAAGCGCTGGCGCTTGTGTTTGAATTGGGTCGGTCATGTCGCGATGACTTTGCTGAAAATTATATAGATGAATTAGTAGATGCGCTGCATCAATTGGCCACGGATTCTAATAAACACCGCGCGAAAAAGGACCGGAAAGCTCAACGTGCTACTTTCAGGGATATTCTCAACTATATTGAGGTTTGTTTTTGTATATTTTATAAAATGTAATCATAAATAACAAATGTATTGTTTCAGAATGATCAGTTTTCGGAAGAACGCGTGAAATTCCAAAAGGAAGTTCTTTATCTAGATAGTTGGTGCCGTCATAAGCAGTATGATGCGTTGTGCAATAGTTTAGGTTCAGGTTTGAACACGCACTTGGCCGAGAATGAATTGCTGCGCGATATTTTCGAGCTGGGAGATAAAGTCGTCATCGGCGAGGTGCCCACTTCAAAAACGTCAAAATTAGAACGCGTATGTATTAATTATATGTGATTTTTAAAACTTATAATTAATTTTGTAGTTTTGTATTTAGAATTTGGTGAATGCTGCGGCGTTTAAGGCGAGGACGATATCCAGAGGGAAGAATCGTGACAAACGTTGCGATTTCTGAGGCACGACACGACAACCAAATTTAGGCAGTAATATAATATCACGAAAAGTGATGTGATCACTTTATTGATTATTATACATGTGTACTTCATTCTCCGGATAGTTGTATTTACATGAATCCTTCACTTTACTTGCGTTCTTTTTATGTTTCTTGACGTTTCTCTTATTTAAATGACGTTGAAACTTACTCTATCACTGCTGATATGTGACTTGAACACATACGAAACTAATGCGTGTATTAATTAGTTCGTTGTGATGATGTAAAAATGTATATAATACATGACGCACCTAATGCTAGTTGTAAGAAGTAGATTCAATTCGACACTGTTTGCGATTTGATGTTTGTAATCAAGTTTTAGGCGTAATTTAGTTGTCTTTGGCTAAGTATTTGAATAATTATGTAGAACGTTTAGAAGTTTAAATTTGTTTGAGGGACGAATGTTTGAATTGACGTCTACTTCGATTGGCAAATACATGCATACTAATGAATCGGTCAGATATATTTATTGGCGTTAAAGTTTGTTAATAATTTCGGTTATATTTCTTAGAAGCGTTGACCTTGATTTCGTGTAGAAAAGTTAAGTTTAATGTTGATTTATTTTGATGCGGATAGATGGCGCTAGCAGTACTATAAATTGATTTTGGCATGTTCGGTCGCACCACGCATACTCGGCTCTAGGCGCAAGTACTACCGGCACAGCTGGCTTGACTCGAGTCAGTTGGTCATAGTCGTGGGTTGTGTGCGTGCCGGTTTTATTTATTTATTGAAGATGGCGGATTCGTGTTTATGTGTGACATCAAACGAACTTAGCGACTTGCTCTCGTTTCATTTCTTGTTTCTCGCGATTTTGGAAGTTAATCGACGCGTGATGCAAACCGCGTGGGATATCAGAGTCTCCCATCGATCTGCAGGTAAAATTTGTGTTATATTCCTGATTTATTTTCAAATATTTAAATTAAATCTTCATCACGCCTTCGCTATCGTATGGGGAGTATGTACGAGAGTCATGTTATACGATGCGATAGTTTTTATCCTCTTTGTAAAGTTGCATCGAAGTTTATAATTGATGTGAGACATTATATTATATTTTATTTTAGTGCACATCAGAAATGTTTCGATTTCAATTCTACGCGCTTATCGGGGTTTGTGTATAAACAAGTTTTTGTGTCGCGATAAAGGCGCACAATGTTGCACTCACGCTACGAACGTTCGACCATTTCAATCTGTTCTTACCTGCACGCGGCTCGGCATCTTCCTTTTATTTATTTTGATTACATTAACTACATTACAAGTTATTAATTAAAAATCGGCATAAATATTGGCACATAATAAAGGGGGGTCAACTGGGATAAATTCCCCGGGGCCCGGCTTATCGCTCTTAAATCGCAAACTCAAAAACTCTAGCACAGTGCTAGTTGCGCTAGAAATTGTAGTTTTTTATAGTATAACACGGGTCCGCGGTGTCACAATTAGTTCGGAATAATTTTCCCAGATGCGGAATTTAATTCTGTACCTCCCTGTATCGAAAATTATTGCGACAAAAATCCGTAACGCGAGTTATATTGAAAGTTGTGTGTGTGTGCGCCGTAGTACTTGTTTTTCTTAAGAATTAAAATTTCATCTCTTAGATTTCTTAGAAATATTGCGATCTGATGGGCATTATTAAATTGCTTATGACTGGCATTTTCATAAAATAACAAAGTTGTTGCATATTTGATAAAATGTGTTTTAAATTTAAACCTGTCATTACTAGATAGTCGGTTAGATGGCACTACGATGCACGTTTTCGCGTTAAATATTGCTTGTCGGTGGTAGTGTGCACTCTTTCGTGTCCGTGTACGATCACGCGATTTCGCGCAAGAGATAAGTTTGTTTACCTGCTGGTATCGAATCTTTATTTCGTGGAATCAAAACACACCGTGGCTGTTTGTTATTTTAGCCTCGTAAATTTAAGCAAATATTCTTCAATTCTTTCATGAATATAACTAACAGTTTTATATTGATTTTAATAGTTTATTATAATAATCATCAATAATGCAAAACATTTTTATTATCAGCAGATCACTGAAACAGATATCACTTAAGTATTTTATGTAAAATCTGCACTCTGTCAGCAGAAGAAATCAGAATTACACAAATCGAATTTTAATTTTTCATTATTTTTTAATAATTTAAATTTTGAAACTACTGTATCATTCATAGATGGCCCTACCATGACCCAAAAATCGTAAAATAGATATGTATTGTATATTTCTATATTTATCGGCAAGCGCGAGCATTCGACACGAGTCGTGTGTTTGTTTTGAACACAATTCACACTTTCTTATCGCATTGCTGCATCATATTTTAGTTTTGATTGCAGGTAATAAGTAACTTTTACGTAAACAGCATGGATGTTTATTTTTCTCTGCTGTTTGAATATAATATTACATTAATATAATGTTTTCTTTTCTTATTTACAGTATATGCCGTGCCTTGGATCTGCATTGGTAAGTTTATAATTCAATTATATTTTTCATTTTAATTCCTGCGTCGTACGCAAGTTTTTATTTACGTAGTTTTTTTTGCGTTCCACCGCGTATTGCAAAGACACAAGACAGTCGCGTTTGAAAACTCTCCAAAAATGAAAAAAATTTGCGTTTTTGCACTTTTATACACAATTTCAGAACCTTTACACTCCGTATTTTAATTATTTTCTCATCTTATCTTATAGAGAATTTTCCGAACTTATATATTTGTAATAACTTGTATACGCATATACGCAATAGTACTCGTAGCGCTTGGAATTGTACTTTCTTAATATTATAACACGCGAACGCGGTCTTAAACTAGGTTTGGATTAATTCTCCCAGAAGCAGAATTTAATTCTTAATCTCCCTGTATCGGAATTTATTGCGAGAAAATTCCGTAACGCGAGTTATAGTGATAGTTGTGTGTATACGCATATACGCAATAGTACTCGTAGCGCTAGGAATTGTACTTTCTTAATATTATAACACGCGAACGCGGTCTTAAACTAGGTTTGGATTAATTCTCCCAGAAGCAGAATTTAATTCTTAATCTCCCTGTATCGGAATTTATTGCGAGAAAATTCCGTAACGCGAGTTATAGTGATAGTTGTGTGTATACGCATATACGCAATAGTACTCGTAGCGCTAGGAATTGTACTTTCTTAATATTATAACACGCGAACGCGGTCTTAAACTAGGTTCGGATTGATTCTCCCAGAAGCAGAATTTAATTCTTAATCTCCCTGTATTGGAATTTATTGCGAGAAAATTCCGTAACGCGAGTTATAGTGATAGTTGTGTGTATACGCATATACGCAATATATACTCGTAGCGCTAGGAATAGTACTTTCTTAATATTATAACACGCGAACGCGGTCTTAAACTAGGTTCGGATTAATTCTCCCAGAAGCAGAATTTAATTCTTAATCTCCCTGTATCGGAATTTATTGCGAGAAAATTCCGTAACGCGAGTTATAGTGATAGTTGTGTGTATACGCATATACGCAATAGTACTCGTAGCGCTAGGAATTGTACTTTCTTAATATTATAACACGCGAACGCGGTCTTAAACTAGGTTTGGATTGATTCTCCCAGAAGCAGAATTTAATTCTTAATCTCCTGTATCGGAATTTATTGCGAGAAAATTCCGTAACGCGAGTTATAGTGATAGTTGTGTGTATACGCATATACGCAATAGTACTCGTAGCGCTAGGAATTGTACTTTCTTAATATTATAACACGCGAACGCGGTCTTAAACTAGGTTCGGATTAATTCTCCCAGAAGCAGAATTTAATTCTTAATCTCCCTGTATCGGAATTTATTGCGAGAAAATTCCGTAACGCGAGTTATAGTGATAGTTGTGTGTATACGCATATACGCAATATATACTCGTAGCGCTTGGAATTGTACTTTCTTAATATTATAACACGCGAACGCGGTCTTAAACTAGGTTCGGATTAATTCTCCCAGAAGCAGAATTTAATTCTTAATCTCCCTGTATCGGAATTTATTGCGAGAAAATTCCGTAACGCGAGTTATAGTGATAGTTGTGTGTATACGCATATACGCAATAGTACTCGTAGCGCTAGGAATTGTACTTTCTTAATATTATAACACGCGAACGCGGTCTTAAACTAGGTTCGGATTAATTCTCCCAGAAGCAGAATTTAATTCTTAATCTCCCTGTATCGGAATTTATTGCGAGAAAATTCCGTAACGCGAGTTATAGTGATAGTTGTGTGTATACGCATATACGCAATAGTACTCGTAGCGCTAGGAATTGTACTTTCTTAATATTATAACACGCGAACGCGGTCTTAAACTAGGTTCGGATTAATTCTCCCAGAAGCAGAATTTAATTCTTAATCTCCCTGTATCGGAATTTATTGCGAGAAAATTCCGTAACGCGAGTTATAGTGATAGTTGTGTGTATACGCATATACGCAATATATACTCGTAGCGCTTGGAATTGTACTTTCTTAATATTATAACACGCGAACGCGGTCTTAAACTAGGTTTGGATTAATTCTCCCAGAAGCAGAATTTAATTCTTAATCTCCTGTATCGGAATTTATTGCGAGAAAATTCCGTAACGCGAGTTATAGTGATAGTTGTGTGTATACGCATATACGCAATATATACTCGTAGCGCTAGGAATAGTACTTTCTTAATATTATAACACGCGAACGCGGTCTTAAACTAGGTTTGGATTAATTCTCCCAGAAGCAGAATTTAATTCTTAATCTCCCTGTATCGGAATTTATTGCGAGAAAATTCCGTAACGCGAGTTATAGTGATAGTTGTGTGTATACGCATATACGCAATATATACTCGTAGCGCTTGGAATTGTACTTTCTTAATATTATAACACGCGAACGCGGTCTTAAACTAGGTTTGGATTAATTCTCCCAGAAGCAGAATTTAATTCTTAATCTCCCTGTATCGGAATTTATTGCGAGAAAATTCCGTAACGCGAGTTATAGTGATAGTTGTGTGTATACGCATATACGCAATATATACTCGTAGCGCTTGGAATTGTACTTTCTTAATATTATAACACGCGAACGCGGTCTTAAACTAGGTTCGGATTAATTCTCCCAGAAGCAGAATTTAATTCTTAATCTCCCTGTATTGGAATTTATGGCGACAAAATTCCGTAACGCGAGTTATAGTGATAGTTGTGTGTATACGCATATACGCAATATATACTCGTAGCGCTTGGAATTGTACTTTCTTAATATTATAACACGCGAACGCGGTCTTAAACTAGGTTTGGATTAATTCTCCCAGAAGCAGAATTTAATTCTTAATCTCCCTGTATTGGAATTTATTGCGACAAAATTCCGTAACGCGAGTTATAGTGATAGTTGTGTGTATACGCATATACGCAATTGTACTCGTAGCGCTAGGAATAGTACTTTCTTAATATTATAACACGCGAACGCGGTCTTAAACTAGGTTTGGATTAATTCTCCCA